AGATAGCGACACTCCTCTTTCAGAGAAAGTTCGTAGAAAATACGCAAAGCAAAGGTTAGAATTGTTAGATAAGTTAAATGAACAGTGGGGTTCAGAAGACAATCGAGATTATAACGAGATGTTTCAAGCTGTCATGGATGCCATTCAGCCTCTTGAAAACGAAATCAAAGACCCTGGCGTACTTGTTGACATGTTTGCTTCATATTTACCCGTTACTGCCAATCTCATAGCGTTGCAAGCTATTGACCAGTTCATTCACTTGTTTCCAAAGAACTTGCAGAAGCATTTACAAGAAGTTAAAGTTGCTGAATTTGTCCGTTTATATCCAAATTCATACAATTATTTGGAAGAATTGAATGAACATGGTGAAAGGTCATTCTATTTATATTTCTACACAAAAGACAACCAGTCAAAACGACTATACTGCATTGAACCTTTACCAGAATTTCAAGACAATTTCCACGTTATAACAACTGTTGCTTTAGATATTCCTGCCAGAGTTCCATATGGAGGAACAGTAACTATCTCAAGCTTTCCCAAGGGCTCTAAAGGAAAGCCTCTCACAATTGCAAAATTCACACACAGCAGTTGCCAATTTGTTCAAGATGTCGAGTTCCATTTCCTCAACAATACGACTTTCATCATAGAGACTCCTCAAGAAGGTTTATACAAAGTTTTCATCGCAGGATTTGTTGCTCCCAATGGCGAAGAAGAAGAAGAAGTCGAAGAAATCCTCACCTCAGAGAGCGAAGAAGAAGAAAATTTCCAAGACATTCAAGATTCAGAATATACCGAATAAAAAAACAATTTAAGACTAAAACATTTATACTAAACATCAACATCAGGGCTAGAAGGCACGAAGTGCCTGGAAGCCCCACTTCCTTTTTTTTTTTTTTTTTTTTTTTTTTTTTTTTTGTTATATATATATATCAGATGATATAAGATGATTTTTTTAAATAAAAAATAAAATTTAATTTTTTAATTGTTAAAATAAGAATAGTAAGCTTGACAAGTAATTTAAGTTTTTGCTTTGTAAAGTTATTTGGTTGGCAAATGCATTGTGTCACTTTTTGTTTGAGTTCACTTTCCGTAATTTGTCTTATGATAATCAAGATGCTTCTTCTCTTCATCAAGATGCTTCCTCTCTTCAACAAAGTGATTCCTCTCTTCTTCAAAGTACTTCCTCTCTTGATCAAGGTGCTTCCTCTCTTCATCAAGATGCTTCCTCACTCCATTATGCAGCTGCTTCTTTTCTTCATCAATTCCTCTTCACCCTGGAGCTCCTCAGCTTTATATCATTTTAATTGGATTTTTTGAAATCCACCTGCAGTAGGATAAAGGAGATGTAACTCACAACTAAGAACCTGGCCATATGCTCCATTCCAGGCCAAAACAGATTGCATAGCCACAAACAGATTGAAATACCAATCCTGTTGCTGCATGGGGCGTCCATATTCCATTTGGAAGACTTGCATCATCACATTTGGATCTGTAAGGACTTTGTCGTTGACAAAATTGGGCCTTGCAGGAGGAACTCCATTTGCTACAATGTATCTGGAAGCAAGAGGTTTGTTCATATCCAATGGATAGATTCCTGTTGCTTTAAAAGCATTTTCGACGTTTGTAGCTGTGCAAGACACACTACATGCATCCAGGAAGCTGCGAACCATGATATAGCGCAGTTCTCTGGCGTTCCATACATAATTGATCACCATATGCCCTTGCTGATCGTACCGGATAGTCGCCATATCAAACAACTTCTTGAATTGGGCCTTCAAGGGAGAAAAAATCCCAACATCAAGAGGTTGTAAGATATGAGATGTATGGCCTGGGAGAACAAGAAGCTCGATATTGAAGGCGCTCAAGAGGCGAACGGCCAAGAAAGAGAGCCTGGATGGATGACCATCTACAATTAGGAGACAAGGTACCTGGGCATCAAACACATTCATTTGAGACCTTTTCTCCTGTACTTTGCAGATGAACATGATACAGTATACCATAAAAAGGTATTTGTTCATCCATCCACTCTCGGAGCGAACAAAAAAGGCGTCCAGATCTTCCAATTCCGCATCAAGGGTCTTCTTTTGTGGAAGTCTCACCATTGGCTTCATAGTTGTACCATCTGCAAAGATGGTACAGACCCCTGTAAGATGTGGAAGCTGAGACTTTTCAGCGCGAACTGGGCGATTCCGGCCAGCAGTAAGAACTTTATAGCGACGTTTGGAATAGAGCATTGTCTCGTCCATATTCGCAATAAACTTCTTCCTGCGGGCAAAGTATCTATGCTTGGAGAGGAAAAATTGGCGAATATGGTTTGCGTCACAGGTAGAGCGTCGAAGCATATCAATAGTTTGGGAGCTCACAATCCGAATTGACAATCTTGTGGCGATATGATTAAGCCAGCCACGGGATGACGATGGGCAGTAATCATCGAGCTTCGCTAGAAGATGCGGGCATCTTGCAGCGATTAGTACCCGCGCCGCAAATTTTAATCTCCTATTTTGTAATTCCGTACAGACAGCAATGGCCATTGATGTTGTAATACAGTTCAAGTCGTCTGCCATCTCTTGAACAAGTTTTTTGAACTGCATTTCATCTGGTAGTGACAAAAGGGTCATACCACCCCCTGACTGACCTTTTGTCCATGAACGACAAGTAGCAGTGCGCATGATTGCGCGTGCTACTGTCGTCTTTGAAATTGAGTAAACATTCCGTATTTGTTGATAAGACTCGCCATTTACTCTTCGAAAGAGTAAATCGAGTTGCATCTGGGTCAATAGCCCAAGATTTTATAGTTTTCTAATTCTGCAAACTCGGGAATTCGTGTTCTTGGTTGCATTTTTTTTAAACGGGAACTTCACAAATTTGGTTCATGGCCATAAAAACTCATTCAATTTTTCTGAGATTTTTTTCGTCACTCACTCAAAACGCAGAGGACCATTCTTCTCAAAATTGAATTATTTTCTCAAATATTGAGTGAGTAAAATGGGCACGTTGTGTAAATTGATTCAAAATTTTTTATTGGTACACGACCTTTGAAATTGGTCTCGGGCTATTCAACCTACGGTAAATATTCTATTACAAAAACGTATATTTTTATAACACATTGAAATTCTTTCAAGTGTTTTTCACAAAATACACCTTTTCTAATAGAATGACATCATTATTTCAGAATGCCGATGTAATATTTCAAATGTGCAATAGTATGCTGATTACATCGTCATTAGTTTTTCACAATGATTGGGAAAGATTCTTCAGCTCTTCAGACGAACACACTCCATATAGAGTTAGTATCCCTAACTTGGGTACGGCGGCACTGCGTTCCACCTTACTCAAGTTAACGGTTTGACACTTTACAAAACCGTTAACGTATATTTTACAATACAACCATAACACCAACTTAACCTTAAATATTTACAAAACCTTCTGACGCATAAATGACTTCACTAATGACTTCACTAACGACTTCACTAACGAATTCACTACCGTCCTCACTAAATAAAAAATAACCTTATTTTTATTTTTTTAAATTTTTTATTTCATTACAAAGACATGTCCGACTACATTTACTATGACTCTTTCCCAGAACGTTTCCGTGAACTATTCAAAACTCAAGTAAAACTGAGAAACATGCATTTTAACAAAGACAGACCCATTGACGATGAAAGAAACCCTGAATATATTACAATCCCTTATGACGCAAAGTTCATTGCATACATTCCTTATGGTCGCAGAGGAACGAAAACTATTTCAACAAAGAACAAAAATTATTTCTGGAGCGATGAAGAAAATTGCCTTATCTACATAAATGCATACTTAAATAAAGCTACATATTGTACAAAAGAAGGTTGGACTGGATTTGAGCTCTACATATACGACGACGATGGAAACAGACGTTGTGTATACCCATACGATATTATGTACCATTGTTTTCATCAAGCATTAAACGATACATAGTCAGTAAGGGTCTCATTCCTGTTGAGTAGATATGCTTTATTTTTGTTCTGTCATTTATATAAAAATAAATTGATATCACCACCTCACACGTATGAAAACATAGCACAAAAATAATGTTTATGTTAGAATGTTAGATCTAACCGTTTTCTAACCTCTTTTTTCACCCTGTTTGAATTCATTGCTTTATAACTCTCTTCCTTGGTTTCTTTTTAGTTGCTTTCTTCACGTCTGTCTCCAACTTGACTGTCTTTCTTCTTCGGCCGTAATGATACCAGTTACTTCCACCAGTCAATGGGTCAAATGGTCTTTCGTAAGGTTTCCATACATTCCATAAGGTCCGTATGGATAAACCGCTGGTGGAGAAGAAACATTTTCTTTAGTTCCATCGACTCTATTTAAATGCATTGTTTCACCTTTCATCTGGTCATTAAAGTCTTTTGCGTGTTTTGCAACTCATCGTCCTTTCCTAAAGCATTTTCTGACTCAGTCGCAACCAAATTGGATGCTTTATTGAGCCCTATTTTATTTAATCTTAACTTCTTTGCAACCCAGCCTCCAATCTTCCTTTATTTGCATCTAATGTCTTTGAAACTCTTCCTCCACTCATTTTTTTACTGCATCATAAGCTCCAAGTGCTTTGCTCCAAATGCTAATGCTTTTGTTCCCATTGCGCCTAAAGCTGCCCAAGCTACCATTTACCCATATATTAAAATCATCTCTCTTCAATATTATCTCATAAAAGTTCTCGTTACTGGAGAAAGTCAATGAAACACAAGCGTTCTCACGGGCTTCGCCCTCACCGCTTTGCGGGTCTATCTAACTTATTTCTTATATCATCTATACGCTTCAAAATGTCTGAACAATTGCTAACATCTTCTACAACATTTTCATCATGAATGACCTTCAAGAACAAGCTCATTTAATATGCTATTAAAATCATTTCAATAATGAGTCCATCCTTTCCATCTTTAGGTAGCACAACATCTTTCATTGAAGAAGGTTCGACAAGTCTTATGTTAAACTTACTGACAAAGTTTGTTATACTATAATGCTTTGGCGGCGAATACATATAGTTTGAAAGACATAATATAGATTCTTCAGCAAATTCACTTATACTGGATTTTATAACAATGTTCTCACGAGACCAAATGCCACCAATTGACAATCTTGTAAGCAATCCTGCTGAACCTTCTACTGTAAACGTCGATGGTAACATTCCACGAAGGTCATCTATTGACATCTTTGAGTCACTGAATTTAAAGATTTTCTTAAAGCAATCGTCATTATCTAACCATGCAATAGCTTTGAAGTTTTCATTCGAATATACATCTGCTTCATTAAATGTAAATCCTGACTTCTTTGCAGAGATGACTTTAAAATCTATTGCATTTGTTTCAAAATTATATGCTATGGTAACTTCTGAAGGTAATGGATGCCCTTCCGCAGTCAGTTGTTCTCTCACTACCGTTTGAAGCTTTGTATTAAAAACTTTCATGTCATCTCCTGTGTCTAGGTTCACATACACAGCAACAGGGAAACTATCTTGCTTCTTTGTTTCATCATTATATCTCAAAACATTAAAGTTCTTCAATAATATTGTTCTTCCTGCTGGAATACTTCGAACCTGTCTGATTTCAATAGCTTTCTCACCTCCTACATACTCTACCCAGTGTCTTGGATATTCATAAGTATACTGACTTTCTTGAATTTTGGTTGGTTTCATCATAACATGTTCATAGTATATTTTTATACTCTTGTCAGTTAGACTCGGTGCTATGTTCTGAATATTTCTGACTTGCATTTTTAATGGAGATAAAATGAAGCATTTAATACATGATGTAGATGAAGACATGAATGAAACCACAGATAAACTTAACTCTTCTCTCATTCTTCCTTTCAGTAAGGACTATGAGTTCTGTTCAAATGGTGTGTATTTCTATTGTGGAAAGATGGGGTCAGGAAAGACATTTAACCTCATTCGTCATATACTCATAACAGAGCGTTTAGGTCAAGATTCATATTATGACCAAATCATTATATCAGCAACTTCAGACTCTATGGACTCAACAGCGAAAACATTTATGTCAAAAGTTCAAGCCTCTGTCGTTAAAGTTCCAGACAGTGAACTCATTGAATTTCTTCAACGTTACATTCGACGTAAGAGGAAATATTATGCTATCGTAGAGTTCATACAGTCAGGAATGCAAAAGACTTCTGAGGAGATGGAAAGAATTATTGACAAACACCACTTACGTCAGTACTCAGGAGTTTACGATATGAAACGACTTACAAACTACATTCTGTCAAAACTTTCAAAATACCCCTTCAAAAAGTATCCTTCAAACACTCTGCTCGTTTGTGACGACTTCGCCGGAAAAGGTTTAGTGTCAAAACCAGACTCACAATTAGCTAACATCATAACTAAAGTCAGACATTACCACTTAACTGTAGCAATACTTATGCAAACATGGAGGTTTTTAGCTTTAAACATAAAACGTCTCATAACTGACTTCGTTATCTTTCAAGGTTTCTCACGCTATGATATTGAACTCATTTGGAAACAGTCAGGTATAACATTACCTTTTGAAGAAATTTGGGAAGCATATAAGTCTCTCATCTCTCCTCGTTCATACCTTGAGATTCATATCATGACTAATACTATTAAAGTCAAAAATATTCCATGGGAACGACCAACATTGTTTTAAAGTTTAACCTTCAATTGACTGATGGTAAACAAATTCCATGCATCTCTGTCGCCATTTCTGTTAATATTTTTGCTGTCATTCATATCATCCACTTCTCCATCCGTTAACTTTTGAGGATATGCGTTAGAATAACTGTTCTTAAATGAAGGCTTTTCACCTTTGAGTGCATAAACTCTATAACTTTCTGCATACTTTATGTTTGAACCTCCTGAGCCATCATTGACATAAATTTTTATAGGTTTCCACCCTTTGTTCATGTTCCTGCTTCTTCCCTTAACTCTTTTGTTCAGTAGTTCTACATCTTTATACACAGCTCCTGTCTCAGTGAATTCAACAATATTTTCATTCGTTAGCTTTACATTCAAACCCTTGTCGAGTATATTGTTCATTTCATACATATAAAAGGTTTTTATTCTATATGAAATGAGAAGCAAATCCATCTTAGCTGGTGCCGTTAATGTTCCAATTGAACCAACATCAAATGTTGACTCACGAACGACAAACAATATTGTCATAAAGAACTATAGTTCAGAGTGTTTGAAAGAAAAAGAACCAGAGCTGAAATCCGTGAATTTAAACTCAGCTTCAAACGCTAACGCTACATCAGATGTTAAGTTAGAGTATCCACCACTGGACCAAATTCTTTCAAGAGAAGCCAACGACAACCCTTACATAAATGTTCAAACAAATCCTTCAGATAACGTAGACCATTACCTTCTTCAGTTATACCAAACAATTTTACTCAAAGACGATAAGAAGCTTTTGACAAATCTTATAAGTAAGAACCAAATAATTCTAACAAAGGAGGACCTTGAAAATGTTATATCACGAATAACAGGAAAGCAATGTGTCATTGACTATCTCGACCCTGAAATCGAATGCTGTGGTCAAACGCCAATATTCATGAAAATAGGTAACATCCGCATCATTGAAACACCAGGAACTACAGGAGTTGAGTTTAAGTATAAATATTCGAACGAGTATACAAAACTTTCAACAGAATATAAGCTTTGTTTGAAATATGTTTTAGTAAATTAAAGCAACTTATAGTATCTATCCAAAACTTCTTCAACAGTATCGAACTCATCTTCATAATGCAAACCTAATCTTATTGACTTGGTGCAGTTTTCACTAACACAATATTTTTCTGTTCTCTTGACTGACATAACTAACTCATTTGTTTCATCAAACAGCAACAACCAAAGTTCATGACCTAATACATAACATTCATACTTTATATTTTTAGCTCTGAGTTCTCTTGTAAGCTGTTGCATTTAATATTTTCTAAAAAGTCAACTTCAACAGTCATTCGCACTGGTGCCTTCAGTTCTACAGGCTCTCCTTGAAAGTCAACAAGTCTGAATTGCATGTCTTTCAAATTATGAGGACTAATGCGAACCCATTTACCTAAATGAGTTGCTATGACAGGAACGTTTGGAATGAACATTGAATTTACTTCATAACAGAAGGATTTATATTCTACTGAACCTTTACTATTAACTCCTGAAATACCTGTGACATTAGCTATTTTTGACTCAATGTACAAACAATTGCCATAACATACGTATGGAACAGATTTCATCTCAATCGTTTTGTCAACACTTTTCAAAGGAAATGTCATATGGTATGCTCCCAAAAGAAGTTGTACTCTATGACTCATTCTTGGTATCTTAAACTCCTTCGCATAACTGAACTTCAAAACTCCTGCAATAAGTTTAACATTCATTAAGTTTTCTTCGTTATCCTTGTTTATTGTAGTATTTATGAGAGCATTTAACACTCCAGCTAATGTTTCCATCTTATATTCTACATTATTGTGAAATCTTATTTCGTGCTTCTTTCCATCTATTTCAAGCTCCATGAAATCTGTTTCATCAGTTATAACGAATGAAGCGATAGTATTAAAGTCAACCATTCTGAATGCAAGTGCCTCATTCTGTAGACCTAAGTTTGTTTGTAGTTTTACTGTCCCGTATTCGTTTGGGTCTGTACTTTGCAAATAGAACAACATTTTATTCTCATTAAAACATGAGTATAGCTGCATATGCGTATGAAGCTGACAGAGCTAAACGTTTATATTTTGGTCAATACTCTCTCACACTTACTGACAAATATATTGTTATTTCTGATGGAAATACTGAGAATATATAACATGGAAGGACTATGAAAAGTTTGACCCAATTTTAACTCCATGCACTATGCCATTCATTGTAAATGGTGAAGTTGTCATGAAGAACGACACAACAGTATATAAGTCTGTTCATGAAGCGTTAGAATATATGTTGAATTATAATCCCGAAAGATTTGACCCAAGCACTACGCCATGTGCAATGCCTTTATTAAGGATGGTGAAATCGTAAGGTTCCGAATTCAACGGTTTATACTGCTGTTCAAAACAGTTTACAAAACATTTTAGCGAATATCTTTAATTCAGAAACTACAGAAATAAAATTACCGTATATAACAGATGCTAAAGAAATTAAATCAAAAACAACAACATTATTTACGTCACTTAATGATTTAATGACTTATATCATTAATATTCCTGCACCAATACAGCATTTGATCCAAACTCGACGGTTTGCAGTGTACCTTTCATAAATGACAGTTCATTAATTACTTTAAGGGATTCGACAGTAAATGAATCATTAAAGGCGTCATTAATGAAAATCATTGATTTTAATTCATTCACGAATACATATAATTCATTCATTAATGTTTCATATGCTTCTAAAGAAGGTGAGCCAAAAACTATCAATAAAGCGGTGTATGAAATAAAAGCATCAACGACGAAATTGAATTCGTTAACTTTTGACGGTGATAGTTTCGTTAATGACATAACATCGGGGAAAACAATTTTAACGAAAGAATACTTAAAATCTCATGTTAGTGAGTTCGTTGAAATTGAAAAAGAAGGTGGAATTAAGTTCGATCCACTGAATTTCATTTTCAGCTTAGCGAATGCGGGTGTTAGTTTCGCTGAATGGACAACTATACAGAGTGAAATAAATGCAATATGGACGTTTTTGGGGTCAAAAGCGGGAATGGGTGAGCTTGTAAATGCTGCAAGAACATTAGGTGAAACAGGAAATTTTGTAGATGGTTTTAAAAGACTTGTTTCAAATGTTTTAACAAACACAAAGAAATTATTTAGATATACCATACATAACGGTCAGATTTTCGAACAGGTAGCAACAAACCCTCCGGTTATGGCTGCGTTGATGATGGTTAGAGATATAAAACCACGTAACGACGGGAACGAAGAACATGAACAACAGGATACTGGTCGGGTTATTCGAGACATTAAAAACGTGTATCCTGAAGTTATTGATTTATTTAGAGGAGTTAATGATTCAATTTCAAAACATTCTATAACCCTCGATGAAGAGAATAAATTAACAGATTATATATTCGTCATTATTGCAGAATTAATGAAGAGAATAAATGAAAAAGGAATTGGTGATATCATTAATGTCAGCGATGTAATGATGAAAAGAAATTTTGACTCATTATTTACAAAACCGAAAACAGAATATAGTCTTTATGACGTAATTACCGAATTAATGAAAAAGATTAATGATAATAAGAGTTCTGGCGGAAGAGTTGAATTAGAAGTGAATGATGTTAATGAGAAATTAGCCGAAAAAGCAGACAAAAATGAGCTTTTAGCTCTGAGTGATAAAGTCAAGAACCACGTTCATTATATAACTTCAGACGAACAGATTATAACGGACTACCATGGATATTTAACACGAAGTGATGAAGTGAAGACGGAAGATGTTAATGAAAGAAGATATAAATACATTCGTGCTAAAGGTTATGACATAAGCTGTACTGTACAGTATGACACAGGTAAAGCACCAGAAGCATTTGGTTATAACGATGAAATTTATGCTTCTAGTTTCTCTGTTAACGGTGTATTAGTTGAACCAAGATTTACTTTGAGAGTTAAGACAAAAATAACCGTTGAAGATGCTATTAAAAGTAAAGCTGACAAAGATGAACTTGACGCAATGAACAAAGTTTTGAAATCTCATAAACACAACATCTCCGATATAAATGAACTTCAAGCTACATTAGACAGTAAAGCCGACAAGAACCATACACATAAATCCTTCACTACTGTTAGAGCAGACGACATAATATTGAACTATACCCTTGGTTCAAATGCACCATTAGAAAATCCAAGTACAAGCGTAAAAGATACACTAAACTCCTTAAATAGTAAATGTATGAACATTGAAGGTCATGTCAGAAACTTTGAAACACATGAACTACCAGCAATGTTAGATAAAAAAGCAGATAAAGAACATACACATAACTCCTTCTCAACTGTTGCTATAGAAAGTATTGAAGGAACGGTTGGCGGAACTGGTGGGAATGCATTATATTATAAACCTCCTAACTTTCCACAAGGTTTAACATCGAATGAAAACATAACAACGAAGAAAGAAATTAGCTGTAAAAATGTTTATGTCATGGACGATGAAAATAATGTTAAATTCACTGCTCAAGATTTATATGATAATAAAGCTGACAAGAACCATACACATAAATCCTTCACTACTGTTAGAGCAGACGACATAATATTGAACTATACCCTTGGTTCAAGTGCACCATTAGAAAATCCAAGTACAAGCGTAAAAGATACTCTTAACAATTTAGATAACAGTTGCAGGAATATCGAAGATCATGCCAGAAACTTTGAAGCATATGAACTACCAACAATGTTAGATAAGAAAGCAGACAAAACAGAGCTTCAAACATTAAAGACAGAAATACTTCAAACATTATATCCTGTTGGTTCTATTTATACGTCAATGAATTCAACAAATCCATCAACAGTTTTAGGTTTTGGTACGTGGAAGCAGATTGTAGATAAATTCTTATACTGTGCTAGATATTCAAAGCAAACAGGAGGTTCGAAGAAAATTAAAGAAGCAAACCTTCCACCACACACTCATACAGGAACTACAAACACAACAGGTAATCATTCACATTCAATAACAAAAAGAGGTTATACAAATCTTGCAGCAGGTTCGGATAGACAGGGAATGAATAGATATGATATTTCAACTGACCCAGTAGATTCAAACGCAGGTATTTTCTGTGGAACCACAGGAAATCATTCACACACTTTCACAACAAATCCAACGGTTCGGGTGCAGATTACATGCCACCATTTGTGACTATATTCGCATGGTACCGCGTTCAATGAACTCGCTTGAGCCTAGAATAAAATCTTTATTTTTACATAAATGAGCTTGAAAGAAGTATTCGAACAACATCCATGGAGGTCATTTAAGAAGTTCAATGAAGCTGCAAAGAGTTGGGGATTTACTAACAGAGCTGAAGTGAAAAGGTTCTTTGACAAAAATGTTGTACATCAAACAAAAATAAACCCTTACGACTACTTTTTACCAATTTACTCCAACACTCCTGACGCATACCAATTTGACACTCTCATTCAAAGCAGAAAAGGAGGACATAAACCATTCCTCATCTTCATTAATGTTAACACTCGCAAAGCATATGCATATCCAATGAAAAATAAAGGAACTCGTGAAGTGTTAAGAGTTTTACAAAAGTTTGTAGCAGAACATAACCCAAGTACTTTAACATCAGACCAGGATTCAGCATACCTCAGCAATGAAATCACAGATTTTCTCATTAAGCATAACATAACTCACTATACTGAAGACCATAACCATAACATACTCGGTATCATAAACCGCTTCATAAGGACTCTCAGAGATTTAAATCAAGAGCGAGACTTTACCGAAGAAACAATGAAATATTTTCTCGAAGTATATAATTCCTCAACACATTCTATAACAGGACATACATCAAATTCAATGACACAACAACAAGAAGAAAAGTATATACAAAAGAAACGAAGCCAAACACAAAATATCAGAAATTCAACACAATTTACCCTCATTCCTGGAACAAAAGTTCGTGTAGTTCTTGACGACAAACTGTTGACAAAGAAACGTTTAAGGTTAAGTAGAAACTATTATATCGTAGACTCTACGCAAGGTAATGGATATCTTATAAAAGCTGCTGACGACTCCATTGCATTTTACCCTCGTCATAAATTAGTCGAAAGTAGTAATGGCAAACTTGCTGAAACCATTGACGAAGCAAAGCGAGGAGTGGTTATTGAAATACTTGGCTATAACATAAACGATGACACTTATAAAGTAAGATATGAAGGAGGCGTTGAAGATGTTATACCATCTAAGAACTTGAGAGAATCTAAACCAACTCATCTGGGTCCATTAGAGCGGGAGTACTGGAAAGATAAAAACATGCCAGAAAGAATAAGAAAATTCTTCTAAACTTTTTCGTTGGATGTAAATCAGACAAAAATATATTTTAGGTGAAGAGGTGAGATTTCACCTGTTTTCTCACCTGTTTTTTCACCCTCACCGCTTAGCGGCTCAGACCCTTTGGGTCTCGTGAATTTTCATGAATTTCCTTAAGATAGAAAAAATAAAGTTAGTTTTATTTTTATTTATTTTTTTATTTTGTATAAAAGATATGATTTCAACAATCGGCACAACAACAATTCAAACAACAACTTCACCAAACTCTTTAGTTATGAATCCAACATCTATGTTAGTAGAGATGAAAAGCTTCATTCCTTCTTCATATACTTTTGAGACAGAAATACAAAGAATTAAGCAAGAACTTTTAACAAGTAATTTAGACTGTAGTGCGAAAGATGAAACAAATGAACAGTATCTTTATGACATGCAGGACATTATTGACCATTTACCCAAATTGCCTGAAATCCAACAACAAAAGCTCACTATTCATGAATTCGATGAAATAGAAGTGAAACCAACTGACTCAGTAGAAATAAAGAAGTTCATACGTAAAGTAAATTATGAGTTTCTTGGATTTCATTGCAACCATAAGGTTATGGACAAAGATTGCGATATGGTATATAAGAATGTTTCTGACATATATAAATCTGAAGAATTTAAGACCTACGACAACTTTGTTTCGTTAGTTGCTGAATGTGTATGGCAGATAAGAGATAAAGATAAAAGATGTAAAATATGGAATGGACAAATAAAACCAACAACTTTTGAGTTAAAGAAAACCATTGACGCCTTAGTTGTTCTAGCAGGTCAAATTTCAATGTATAACGCAAAAATGAATCCGCAATGTTCAAAATGTAAAGCAGCAATGAGGAAATAGAACTACTCCGTCAAAGAGATAGAACGTATGAGAAACGACTATGCTGACTTAAAGAAAGAAGTAGAGAAACCAGCAGAAGATAAAATGGACATGTTAGCATTTCTGAACAAAAACTATCCAACAGCTGACGATTTCCTTCTATCTGACGTCAAGAAGAAGTATAAAGAAACTTTCGGCATTGTTAAAACTTTTGACATACTGACAGAAGAAATAGAAGCTACGAAATTGTTTAGAATTTCAAATATACATCGTACAATTCATGTAAAACGCTTATAAAATAACTGGGGTGAAAAATTAGGTGAGAAAACTGGTGAAATCTCACCTCTTCACCTAAAATATATTTTTATTGAATTCAGCAACAAAATTCTGAGTAAAATAATTTTTAGGGCATGTGTCAAACCGTTGAGTTTTCACAAAATTTAAAAAATAACGTTTACCATGTAAAACACTTATAAAATAACTGGGGTGAAAAATTAGGTGAGAAAACTGGTGAAATCTCACCTCTTCACCTAAAATATATTTTTATTGAATTCAGCAAAAAAATAATGAATTTCATTAGTTAGAAAAATAAAGTTAGTTTTATTTTTATTTATTTTTTTATTTTGTATGTAAGAACAGAAATGACAAACATTGAGTTTGAAACAGTTAGAAAGATAGACAATGACCAAAGTGGTTAGAATAGGTGATTAAACGTAAGATACTCAAAGAAATACAACAAATATTCTTTGTCAGACATTATATCTCCATCTGAAAAGAAAACAAACCATTGGGTTAGAAATGCTTCAACTCAGAAAATTTTGACAAGAAATCCTGAGCTTATGATATCGGTAAGATTCTATGGAACTACAGCATATCTCATTGACAAAAGTCTTATACCAATAGTTTTGTTATGGTTAGACCCAGTTGTTGGATATAACTTCATAACTTATGGTTCATTCGATACGGAACGTTGCAGTGAAGGCTTACTTTACATCGTTCAGAAACCGAAGGACTTCAATACAAAGAGATATAAGATAGGAAGAACATATAATATAACTCAAAGATATGACAGTACAGTCAATAGAGTCAAGGTTGTGTTCGTTAATGATATGAGAGCTGCAGAAACAGAACTACTTGAAAAGTTTGAGAAAATGTATGGTGCTCCCACGAAAGGTAAAGAAACGTTTGAAGTAGATGAGATAGATAAAGCTATAAAATTATTTGACGAAGTTGCTGAAAAATACATGTAAAGCGTTTATTTTTGGTCTTTTGTGAAAGTCAGAAAATAACGTTAGTTTTTTATAAAATATTTTTTTATCCGGAATATAAAGACAGATATGTCAACAACAGAGAACACAACAACTGCTATCGTTCATGAAGCCATTAATGAAGAATATGAATACATACAGTATAACAAACAATTGAGACTCATTCGTTCGGTCAAAGACGATATGTACCAGATGCAAAGTATAATGAAGGCTCTTCGTTCTACAAAGCAAGCATATCATTGGTTTGAAAACCAACAGACAAAAGAACTTTTAGAAGAATTTCCTCATATGATTGCTTCCCTCGGAAAACCGAGGGAAGAGATTCCATTCGAAAATCGCAAGAATTTGGCTCCTTGTTTGAAAGGTTATTATGTTCATAGACTTTTAGTAAACGCTGTATCAATGTGGGCTTCACCTCGTTATGCTTGTTATATTTTCATGATATTAGATGAACTATATAAAGCAGAACGTGAAGATATGGAAATGAAACTTCAAGCAAAAGATGAAGTCATTGAATCCAAAGACAAAAGCATACAGAAAAGAATACCACGTTCAGTACCAAAAGGAAAGGAAAAGAGTTATAAGTATATGATATATACTGAAGAGTTGGAGAAAGAAGAAGACAGTGACATGGCTATGTTGCATTTAGTCAGAAGAAACAACAAAAGCTTTTACGACCTTGTTAAGATTTACAAATCTGACAGAAATTGGTTCTATCGTGAAAACTTACCGATTTCAATGACACCGAATGAAGATGTGAAACAAATAGTTCAAGATACGTTACCTCAAACACACTATGACATCAAAGGTTGCACAATACTTACATTCAAAGAAGACTTAACATTACTGAAAGAAAAGATAACAGAATATTTCGACAACTTCAAAGAGGAAGAATGAAAAAAAATCTCGTCGGGTGCCACGTTAGAACCATAGTGGAGAAAACCATGATAAAAACAAAACGCTCCATGTCGATCATAATCGACGAAGTGCAAATCTTCACTTCGTCAAGTTTATTTTGTTTTTACCATTTAAGTGTTGTAAAATGTCGATATGAAGACTAACCAAAAATATATTTTTGCTTAAATGACGTCAGGGTCAATTTCTTCAACCATTTCACTTCCTTCGTCAATTTCAATAGAAGCTTCTTCAACCTTTGGTAAGAATTTCTGTATAACATCTTTGTTCGTTATTGTCTTCAGAGATGAAGGATAATATTTCACATTTGTTTCACCCTTCTTATATTCTTTCTGTTCGGAAAGATTCATAGCAATACTGAAGAAGTCAATGTTAGAGTTCTTTATGACAGTATAATGAGTATCTTTGACATTCACGAAGAAACTCTTTTGTTTCAAAACTACTGCTAACTCTTGTGAAGTATAACGTTTGCGGTCAATGACAATAGCTAATGGTCTGACATACTGACCGAACTTAGATTCTTTCACAAACTTCTTGTTAAAGATAACATTGACGTTTGAAGCACCATTGAACTCATTCTTGATGGCAGTAGCGAGAGCATTGTATGAAAAGAACTTGCAATCTTGCATGTGTTTCATTATAATAAAAAGTTCGAAATATTTTAAAACTAGCCTTAAAAAATCTAAGCTAATTTTTTTCTAAGAAATTTTTTTATTTCCTACTAAAGATGTATCGGAAGTTGTCTAAGTTAGAACACTCGGAAATAAAACAACTTCTTACAGAAGCTAACATAGATGTTGCAAAACATTACGCGACAAACAAAAAATCACTCGCTGACATCCTCAATGACTACAATGGTGAAATAACTTATGATAGAATTCATGAGTTCATAAATGCAAGAGCATTTCCTTTAAATGACGTTGCTATTGACTTATATCATAGACGTTCAGTACCTCATGAAGTAAGAAGAGAAATGTTTGACATAACAAATGCAAACGTTGGTCATACTCGTAAAGCTCTTTCGCATGATGTTCGTCAAGAGATGTTTGAACTTACGAACTCAAACGTTGGTGAAACACGAAAGAGAGACGACACACTGAAACAACAGAGAAGAGAGATGTTTAAAAGTGCTATAGAACAAGTTCGCAAAGCTAATAATGTCATTCGTTCCATTGACGACAAACCAAAAGAAGGTGAGAGATGGTTAAAGAAAGATGAAGAGAATAGGAAGAGAAATGTGAAGTCAGGCAATAGACTCATTGACTTTAACATCGAAGCTTTAGATGAACCAAACAGAGACTACTTACACAAACATTTCGGTAAGGTTTTCATGAGACTCTTAGAGAAGATTAAAATAAACTCCCAACAAAGATGGATGGTATGTTATAAACTTGGTGGAAAGTATGAATGTTCTACGTTAAACCTCAATAATATTGGAACATTACTACATCAGCTCTTGAAGGAGAACTTTATATCAGAGATAGAAGCAAATGCCGCAGGTATTGTTGAAATGCACTATGACTTCTTCTTGACAAACATAAAGAATCTTACTGAAATAAAGATGTATGATTTAACTGAATATGAAGGCTTAACGATGTCAGATGTTAAGAAAGGAAAGCCAAGAGCGACCATATAGAGATGAAAGCACACTGACAGAAAGACAGAAAAGATTATTGAACAGACTTAAACAAACAGGAGATAAACAAGATATAGATGACTTCTGGAATGAAATCCTTGGTGAAAAGAAGTTTTATAAGAAGAGAAGCGGTCAGTTCTGGAAGTATCTTTGCACATTACCTATAAATCTTGAACGCTACCAAATCTTCAATGAACTGAACAAAAGAACTGCAACACTTATGACAGAGGACAATTGTTTCGTTTATGCTTGCATTCAGGCTGGAGTAAATGAAGAAACTATTGACCACATGAGAGAAGTCATTCGTGTTAGAGACTTTCCTCAAAGTAAAGTACAAGAAATTTCTGACGCAACAGGTATAGCATTTAATGTTACCATTGGTTACTTCAATGACTCAAGACATAATGAAATAAAGAGATACATACCAAAAGAATGTAAAACTGTTCGAACTATTGACTTACTTCTTGTTGAAGACCACTACATGCTAAATGAAAGACTTCCAATGACAACATATTTCATTCGCAACTATATAGAAATCTTGAAGGAGTGTGGTGGAATGAACATTGAGAAACAGATGAAGATTTATACAAAGAGAGAAGATAAATATGTAGTTCGCATGGATAGAACTACACCGCTATGGGATGTTATGAAAACATTGTGGGAGTGCAAATATTTCGAACCTATTTCTTATGGAGAACTTTTCACATATACGACTGACTTATATAAACAGAACCTTGCACCATTTAAAGATTTGACATATGCTCCAAAGTATTGTGTACAACTGAAGAAGAAAGCAGAGTCAAAAGAAGTAAATAAAAAATGTAAGTTCATTCCTGAGCACGTTTTCTTTGCTGACTTTGAGTGCAGTACCGATGGCTTTCATAAAGCTTTTAACATATGTTACGACAGTGAAGATGGTTCAGTGAGTGAAAGCATATGGGGTCAAAACTGTGCAACAGAATTTTTGGAGCGACTTCCTGACAAGAGTTTAATATATTTCCATAACCTCAGCTATGATATAAACTTCATCTTAAGACACATGACAGAAGTGAAAGGAACTCCCATCATTAAAGGTTCACGAACAATGCAAATAACTGGCTTATATAAAGGAAGGGCAATTATTATAAAAGACTCTTACAGTGTTATAAATAAGAAGCTTAAACTATTTCCTGCTATGTTTAACTTACAAACAGGACCGAAAGAAGTATTTCCATACAACTACTACAGCAGTGTTTTGTTAGCAAATGACAACAGAACTGGTGTCATTTCTGAAGCATGTAAGTTTATCCAGGATGCAGATACATTTATGAAAAACATAGATTCCATCAAAGGTTGCAGAATAGATGAAAACCACTTCGACTTAGAAAAATATAGCACGTTTTACTGCAAACAAGATGTAAGAATTTTAAGAGAAGGTTTTGTTAAGTTCCGCAATGACATATTAAAAGAATTTGGTTTAAACGTTTATGACTACGTTAGTATTTGTTCAATTGCTAACAAATTATTTGAGAACAGAGTATACTTCCCGAATGGAAATCTTTATGACCTCTCAAATAAACCAAGAGAATTTATTTCACGCTGTATTCAAGGTGGAAGATGTATGTTGTCAGATAACATGAAACAAAAGAGCGAAAAGAAACTCATTGCTGACTTCGACGCTGTTTCATTATATCCATCCGCTATAGCAAGACTTTATACTTTAGAAGGAATTCCAAAAGTATTGAAGGATGAGATGTTAAGCACAGAGTATCTCATGAGACATTTATTCAATGACGACCAAAAGGAACCCATTGGTGAAAAGTTTATGTCTGGCTTCTTTGTTCTCATTAAGATAACAGAGATTGGAATACATAGACACTTTCCTTTAATAGTTTGTGACCCTGAACTAAATCCAGAACTTAACGTTCCCAGAAGTTCAAACACTTGCTGTTTAATGTATGTTGACCATATAACATTACAAGACCTCATAAAATATCAAGGTGTCAAATGTGAAGTGTTGCAAGGATACTATTACGATGGAAACAGAGATATTAGAATAAGAGATGAAGTAAAGAAGTTGTTTGAGTTAAGGTTAAAGTATAAGAAAGAAGGAAATCCTTTGCAAGAAAATATAAAGCTCATTCTGAACAGTATTTATGGCAAAACTATTCTATCTCCTATTGAGTCAAAAATAACCATAGTAAATGACAAAGATGCTATAAGATATGCCATCAGAAACTACAACCATATAGTGAAGTTCGAAGGTTTGGATGGTTCAGATAAAACTATTTTCAAGCTAACGAAAAGCATTTGCAGACACTTTAACTTCTGTCCACTTGGTGTTAATATTCTATCTATGTCGAAGAGAATAATGTGTGAAGTATTCTGTACTGCTGAAGACTTAGGAATGGACATCTTTTATAGCGATACCGACAGTATGCATCTCTACAATGAAGATATCCCTCGTTTAGCTGAAGAGTTTGAGAAGCGTTATGGAAGAGTTTCATTGGTAAAAACCTTGGTCATTTCATCTGACTTCGCAGAAATAACACCTGGAAAACAAAGTTTAGCATACAAGTCAATATTTTGTGGAAAGAAGACTTACATAGACTTACTCACGAATGATTTAAATGAAGTTGCATTTCACTGCAGAATGAAAGGCGTGAAGCAAGATGTTATTGTTTTAACCGCTAATGAAATGTTTCCTGACTCTGTTCAGTGTTTCTATGATGAAGATAAAGGTTTAATGGTTCCGCAAGGAACATATGACAAAGACTCTGAGTTCAGTTTAATGAAACTTTACAAAGCACTTTATGACGGTCAAGAGATTGGATTTGACTTATGTAAGTCTTCTAGTCCTTGCTTTGCTGAAAAGTTTAACTTCTCAATAACGACTAAAACAAGCTTTATTCGTAAGTTGAAGTTCTGAGGTCATTTATTTTTGTCAGCAATGAGGTCATTCATGATAAAAATAAGCCGCTAGCGGCAAGGGCGAAGCCCATGTGGTCATTTACAATACTGCGATGGTAGAGTTTAAGAGTTGTGCTTCAATGTAGAGACAGTCCTTATGGTCTGGAGGTAAGAACACTGGGCAGTTATGGTCATGAGTGGAGAACATGTCTATCCAAAACTCACGATTGAAGCCAGTTAATTTATAGTATTTAGGGTTAGGAAGTGGTGAAGTTCTTGTATGACCAATGAACTCATTTTCAACTCCCTTACTTAAGTTTGAATATAATATAGCTTGCTTTCTATCCCAAATGCCAGGTGTTACAATCTTTGAAAATTCATTTTTCCTCGGAAGCATTGCATCATAATTGAAAACATTCTTGAAATCTTCATTGGTTCAGAGATTTGAAACCTTATACGTAATGGATTTTCTTTCTCTTTAGCTACTTCATTGAATGGTGAATATATAACAAACTGACAGTCATGAGTTTCCATCTTCATTTTCATTAAATTCATAATGAAAGTCTATAAGTTGTGGCTGACTACCTTCTTCTTTCAGTTGTGCAAGAAACTCACGTAAAGGCTGTAAAGTTTGTACTTCAATGTTGAACTTTTTCTCGAACATCTCATTAAATGAAATCATACATTGCAACAATGTTGTATCGTCTTTAAAGTATTTGTATATGTGAATGTTTTGGGCGCTTAAAGACTGTTCGTCATTTTCTATCTCGACTTGAAGTATAAAGTCAACCTTTCTGAAAGCACGTGTTATATACATAGATGTTATGCCAATGTACTTCTCTTCATTTATGTTCACAATCCAGTCTGTTGGAAACTTAAACGTTACTCTGTTCCCCTTTATTTTGACGTCAGGGTTTTCACTACTGAACGCAACAGATAAAGGTATTTGTCTATACATTTAATTCGGATAAAAATAAACCATTTACTCTTTCTTTGCTTCAGCTTCTTTAGCTTTTGCTTCAGCTTCTTCTCTAGCTTTCTTCGCCAGCAAACGTGGGTTCTTTTGTCTTCCAGCAGCTAATACAGCAAGTTGTTTTTCACTAAGTTTTCTCTTTGGTCTCTCTGGCTTTTGTTCCTTCAGTTCGGATAAAATTTGCTCACGAATTTCTTTCTTCAATGCTTCAACATCTATGACCCCTTGGGTCTTGTCCGTAGGGTTTGTCTGAGTCATTTGACTGCAGATAAAAAATAAAATTAAAACTTTAACCGATGTAAAATGAGCTTGTCAAAATCAGAGCGAGAGTCTATTATATTAAATGACGCAAGAGGAGTACAACATCCTTTCTATTACGTAAGTCAGAGTAAAGATGGTAAAATATACGTAAGAAAAAGAAAGGTTCCATTAGCGAATGCAGAAAGCGACAACATTAAGGTGTATGGCAAGGGTGAAGTCCACGAAGCCCATATAAAACCTTCTATTCAAACTGAAAAGTCAATAGAACCAGAAGAAAAGAAGCCAGATGTTCTTTCAATAACGAACCAAGAGCTTATTGCAAAGTTCGTGAATTTCATTGAAAAGCAAACTGAGTCAAAGAACCCTGACCCACCAGTGAAAGAAGTTGAGACAAAAGAGAATGTACAGTTCATTGAAAATGTCAAGAAACAACTTCCACCACGAATGCCAAGAAGAAGAGTGAGAATAATGAAGTAAATAGATATTTTTATCTGAAGTAAATACATGCAGAACGAACAGCTAAACGAATTTACTCCAGCAGAGCATATTCATCAGATTCGCTCATATTTCGATATCATAGACAATGCAGTTCAAATTGGTGACACTAATAGAAAATATTCTGACGCAAAGATTCCATCACAACCTGGAACTGCTAAAGATAACACATGGGTAACATTCAATCTCTCACCTCCTGGTGAAAATATGTTGGACCTTTACAATACATTCATTACGTATAAAATGGAAGGTCAATTTATTGTAGATAAAGAAATTGGTTCAGGTTCCAATAAAACAAACCCACCAGGATTTTGGATTGGTTTCGATGACGCTTTCTATGCAGTTGCTGGATATCAAATCCTTGCAAATGGTCGTATCGTATATTCTCAAGACAACGCAAGAGAAGAAGCATATATAACTTCAAACTCACAAACTACCGAACAAATAAAGAAAGTAGATGTTTTCTCAAAGACTCGACATGAAGATGTATGGAGTCATTCGGGAACATGCAGAACAGGACAAATTGTTAGTGGTCCAATTACAGCAGGAAAATCATTTGATTTTAAGCTTCGTTTAAGAATTCCTGTTAGAAGATTCCTTCCATTAGAAGCTATTCGATTTATTCCAGCTTTTGCAGGAAACATTCAGCTTAAAGTAAAGTTCAGTAGCGACGCCTTACAATGCACATCTATATCTGTAAATGATATCATTGCTTTCAATCCAACTCTTAAAGTTGCATTTGCTTCAGATTCAAATCCACCGACAAATAAATTTGTTCCATGGAATGAACCATTCACTATGATAACGAAGGCAGTAGAAGCTAGTGGAACAGTTACTATTACAACTGTAACCCAGCAACTATTTCGAACAAAGATGGATTTTAATGAATGTTTCATTCATCCAAAGTCATTCTCTTTAGACCCTAACATTTATACAGAACTTGTAGAACATTATACAAACGAGGCTTTATGTTTTCCTGTTAAAGTTATGGATTGGATTCCTATGGACGGTTCATTCTCAAAGAATACAGATAGTTCAAGTGCAACATTTACAGCAGCTTATACGCCTATTAATGTTAAAAGTATTTGGGCACTATTTAGAAAGAAAGACAACTATTATGTTAATTTTGAGAACCCTAAGTTTAAATATCTTCAGCTTTCCATGGGAGCTTATGGAAATATGCCTGCAGAACCTGAAAAATCATATGGACCTGTATTTTATGAAATGGTTGCGAACGCTTGCAATACAAACAATGATATGATTGGATTTAATGAAGATGTTATGAGGTCATTGGTGGATGATGGTAGTGTGGAACATAAATGGGATAGCTATGACAACACACATTTCTTATGTGGTTTTCCAACAGGAGTGGACTTTTGCTTCCAGCAAGGTCAAACATCTACTGCTCCAATAACATACAAATTGTCTGTTAAAGGACCTATTGAACTAGCAACTGAAAATGTACCAAAGCCACTTATTGGATTTATGAGGGATTGTTGCTTTGCCATTCAGGTGCGTGCTAATGGCATCCCCATAATAAGATTACATGACTATAACTTAGCTACGGACGACGGTGAGGAATAAAGGATGAACGTTTATTTTTAAAGCTTATAAATGAGTTCTTCATCAAGCTCTCGTGAACCTTCACCATCTATGAAACAAACTTTACCAAACGATTATGGAGCACCTATTGAATATTTCTTACGAGCTGCACAATGGCAAAGAGCAGTCTCACCAAGGTTAGGTGTTCCACCAGCTCCTGTCAAAAATAGCATTTGGTCAAGCCCTTATATAAGATATGATCTCCCACTAGGTTTGCTAGCTACAGCAGGAGCAGTTATGATGTTGAAAAGAAATAAAGCAAATGTTGTAAATAATACTGAAGTAGCTGAAGTTAAACAAACTCCAACACCTTCGCCAAAACCAACTCCTTCACAAGCAAAACCTTCAATGACTCCTGAACCTATGGAAGTACAAACTCCTGTTCAAAAGTCAACTCCTAAACCGACTCCAACATTTAAACCAGAACCTACACCACAAATAAATCGTAAAACTTCTGCGTTTCCTTACTGAAAAAATAACGTTCTTTTTATTTAATATTAAAATTTTTATTTGATTGAAATGACAAATAAAGTCACTGAAGCAATGAAACAAAAGTTCTTGGTAGAATACATTAAATCAGGAACTATTCCAGAAGGTTTTTACATTCATACTATGAAGGATGGTAGAGTTCAGTTTAGAAAGATAAAGCAACCATTAGATAGAGAAGGTATATTAAGGAAAATTAAACTTCATGAGGACAACATTGCTGAACTTAAGAAGAAGTTAGAAGAGTTGGAGAAAGGAAGAGAGTTATAAAGCAATGAATTCAACAGGGTGAAAAAAGAGGTTAGAAAACGTGTTAGATCTAACATTCTAACATAAACATTATTTTTGTGCTATGTTTTCATACGTGTGAGGGTGGTGATATCATTTATTTTTATATAAATGACAGAACAAAAATAAAGCATATCTACTCAACAGGAATGAGACCCTTACTGACTATGTATTCGTTTAATGCTTGATGAAAACAATGGTACATATTATCGTATGGGTATACACAACGTCTGTTTCCATCGTCGTCGTATATGTAGAGCTCAAATCCAGTCCAACCTTCTTTTGTACAATATGTAGCTTTATTTAAGTATGCATTTATGTAGATAAGGCAATTTTCTTCATCGCTCCAGAAATAATTTTTGTTCTTTGTTGAAATAGTTTTCGTTCCTCTGCGACCATAAGGAATGTATGCAATGAACTTTGCGTCATAAGGGATTGTAATATATTCAGGGTTTCTTTCATCGTCAATGGGTCTGTCTTTGTTAAAATGCATGTTTCTCAGTTTTACTTGAGTTTTGAATAGTTCACGGAAACGTTCTGGGAAAGAGTCATAGTAAATGTAGTCGGACATGTCTTTGTAATGAAATAAAAAATTTAAAAAAATAAAAATAAGGTTATTTTTTATTTAGTGAGGACGGTAGTGAATTCGTTAGTGAAGTCGTTAGTGAAGTCATTAGTGAAGTCATTTATGCGTCAGAAGGTTTTGTAAATATTTAAGGTTAAGTTGGTGTTATGGTTGTATTGTAAAATATACGTTAACGGTTTTGTAAAGTGTCAAACCGTTAACTTGAGTAAGGTGGAACGCAGTGCCGCCGTACCCAAGTTAGGGATACTAACTTATAGTAATAAAAGCGAAACTATCTCTATTGAAACAGATGAAAATTATTATGTATCTCATTGTCTCTTTGTTTTTCTTAATGAGACTAGTGCTGTTCGTATCACAGCTTCATCGGACAATATCAAATTCCTTATTGATACAAGCACATTTGACAAATGTGGACACAAAAGGGAATCTGGTGGCTCTTTATACATAAATTTTTTTAATGGTGAGTGTATTCAAGACCGAATCTGCAGTTTTGGCTCTACCTCTTCTAGTTCAGGAGCTTATTGTTATATTTTATTTGACGATGAACCTACAATTAGGAATTATCTCATTGATTCAACAATTACTTCGAGTAGTATAGGAATCAGCAATATTTATTTGCACAATGGTGAAATCAATATGAAATCAATTAATATTTCAAATTCAGAAATGTCTCAAGATAGTATCTACAAAGTTGAGTCTAGTTCTAACTCAAATGTAACACTTTCAACATTTTCAAACAATACATCAACTAATGGAGCTTTTCATTCGGAATTATCAGACCCGCTTGAATTTAAAATTCTTTTCAGTAATTTCATCAATAATAAATTATATGATTTAATATTCAATAATTATTATCTTTATATCATTAATTGTAGTTTTTATAATAATGATATCGAAAGACGGTATTTCAGTAATGCTAATTCAATTCAAAGAATAGGCTGTTATATTGACAGTTCAAATCTTGATACTGGTCTGGGTGTCAATATAGTAGATGAAGTAAGTTCAAAATATCCAGACAATTATCATTTTCCTTGTACATACTCGACAGAATTAAAGCATGATATTTTAATAGAAAAAAGTCAGACTGATGATTTAAATCTAATTGCGATTAAAAAATCGATTAAACATCGTAAGCGAAGATATACATCTGCAATAAGATCATTAATCCAAGTGTTACGGACAATTTAGGATTGAAACCAGATCAAATGCTTGGTCAACAGATCACAAACTTTGTTTGTATCAATGATCAAAAACAAATCAAGTCCCAACTTAAATTGATGACATCAGGTCAAGGTTCATTAGTTTGGCAAGACCATATTGAGTTGATCAATGATCTTGGTAAATCCGTTCCATTCTCAGTTACAATGATTGGTATGAAAGACAATGATAATTCCAATGAACTTAATTCTATTGTCTTTATTCTTACAAACGAAACAGGAGAAATCAAGAAACGAACAGCTGCAGAAAACGCGAAACAACGAAGTGAAAAACTTCTTTACCATATTCTTCCAAAAGACATTGTTGTTCGCTTAAACCGAGGTGAGAAAGACATTTCATTCACAATCCCTCAAGCTACAATTTTCTTCATCGACATTGTCAAGTTCTCAGTTTATTCATCATCACTTACTCCAGGGGAAATCATGAGTAATCTAAGTTAAGTTAAAACTAAGCTATTGTTTTAATTCTAATTGTATATATCGGAGACTGTTGGCTTATAAGGTATACATTTTGGCGCATTTTTTCATGCCTATTGACTTTATGGAATACTTCAACTTACGTATAAGATATAATTTTCAATGTATATTTTGAATCAAATAATAGGATCCTAAATTTTAATTAAAAAATGTGACATTCGTTTTTTTTTGCGAGATAAGTTTCAAGTAATTAAGCTGCGCATCAAAATGAAATATCTTAATATACTCATGATAGAACCTTTAATTTTCATATTTATTTACTGCATTCAACTTACTCCAAATTCGAAACTAATTAATTTAATATTGTCAAAATTCTTTTTTCATATTTTTATAGCTAGATTTGAAATCACTAAAGATACACTTCCAAATGAAATATGGCAAGAATACTATGAAAGTCCATCAGAAAATTATACAATAATCACAAATAACACAAGCCCAATTATATCAATGAATTTGTATTTCTTACTTTTATCAAATTTCAAAGATTTTAATAATCATGTGATTAATTGTAATGTTGATTCATTAAAATTGATTCATTCGGTATGTACATACACGAATATTATTCGAACTGAAGGAGATGGTGGCTGTGTCTACTTTGAAGGTAGTAGTTCCATAGTTCAAGATCGATTTTGCGCAATTAAATGCTACACTCCAAATAGGGGAAAGTATTCATATGTAAACGTTAAGACAGAAACAAACAAAAATTTGGTAAATTTTGGTTCATTTTATCAATGTGGAAACGATAGCACTGGTAGTTCCTGTATATATCATCATCATGGAGTTCAAACTCTTATTTCTTCTAATATTACAAATACGAAAAGCCGTCGAGATCCTGCATATAGTTTTCTATATAGTCCTGTTTTAATTAACTTATGCTGCTTCATTTCTAATGATAATCAAGAATCAGATTATATGTGCATGAATCATTTTGCAACACCTGATTCATTTGTGAAAAATTCTTTAATCAAAAACAATACATGTAAAAATGACAGTCAATTTTATGGCCTACTCTATTGTCAGGAAGGAATTATTACTGTTTCAGAGTGTATTTTCTTTCAAAACCAAGCGAGTTTCATTTTTAGTGCTGTGCAAGGTGGAATTATGACAATAATTCACTGCTTTGGAGATGTTTTAACTGCAGCTTGTACTGCTGATGGCTCAATTACTTCAAATGAAATATCAACAGACGCATTTGATCTTAAGCTTTCCCTTTTTTCATTAGGAAAATGTGAAGCCGAATTCCCAATTCAGTTCCGACTCATTTTTGTTAGAAATAAATGTGAGAAAACTCTTCTTATTGATAGACCTATTTTATTGGATTTTTCTTTTAATTATTTAGTTAGTCTAAAAAATAATTAAAGTCCGAAAACATCAGAAAAAATAATAATAAATCAACCAAAAAGTTGGATCATTGATAAAAAATAGCCAAGATAATTATATTTTGTTAGCAAATCAATTTGAGTCTTATGTATATGCACCTAAGAATGTTAGATACGATGCATATATAAGCAATATACCTCAAATTTTTCTGAGCTTTGTCTAAGAAAAATTTGAGGTATATTCGCTATATCACACCCTTCAAATTGTTTTGGGATTATGATTTGATAGAAAAAAGGGACCCAAAAAAATTAAATGGTTGGATATAAAGTTATATATTGAAAGTTAGATAAGTTAAAATTAGTATCATGAGTCTATTATATATGTAGCATCAAATCGAGTGTTTTCATTGCAAAATTGGTTCATTCTACACTCTTGTGTATAAAGAATATGTGTGATAAACCATACCATCTATGAATTTATTTCTCAGATTTTGAAATCGCTATATTTCAAAAAATTAATTAAATCGCACGAATTCTTCTTATTTTACATTTTCATTCAAGGCATAAAAAGTAAAAATAAAAAATAAATAAACATTATAAATTTATGGTTGTTCACTTGGAACTTCAGCAAAATGAATGTTTTGTCCAAATGGATTTTGTTCCTGCTGATTTTGATTGTGCTGATTCTGCGGCGAAGGTTGTGGATAGTTAAATCCTTGGAAAGCAGGAACACCTGGCATTTGGTTGAAGAACGGGAACTGAACTGGACCTTGTGGCCAGAAAAATGGAGAAATTGGCATAACAGGACCTGTTCGATACATCATGACATCGTGTTGCATAAGACGATCTTCATCATTTCGAACATTTCTGTTCCTGCAGCAAATAAACGAACAGATGCAGTAAATAACAAGTCCAATCAATGAAAGACCAAGAATGATTCCGATATTCAAGTAAATCAAGTAAATCGTCAATCTCATGAATGGTTTAGAGAAGAAACCCTTTGATTTATTTAATGGCATAAACTTAAATCCTTGTTTACTTGGTTTTGGTGTTTCTTTATCTTTATTATTCTTTAATTCTTTTGGTGATTCAATCTTTTCATTTGGTTTTTCTTTTTCTTCTTATGTTTTTTCTTGATTTGGTTTGACCATTTTTCCTTCTTCATTTTCTTCTTCGATTTTTTCTTCTTGTTTGTTATTTTTAATTTTATCTTTAAGTTTTTCTTTTCCTGGTTGATTTTCTCTACCTTTTGCAAGTTTTCCAAAGAGTTCAATTGATTGACGGAGAGAATCAATTGATGAATTGTAGTAAACACATGGATTTTGAACTTTATCAATGATTTCTCCTTCAATTCTAGAATTTTCATTATGACCTTTAAAAACAACAACAGAAGAAAGATTGTTTTGGCTTTCTTTAGTAACATCACCGTTGAAATCATAAACAGTCAAGTATTCAGGAAGAACAGCACTTGTAACATGATCTCCGTTCCTGTGAAGTAACAAACAAGTGTTTGGAAGAACTCCTATTGGAACAGTAACTGTTGGCGAGAAAGTGTAATAAAGAGATGAACAATTCAATGATTTCTTGAGACTTACACTCATTAAAGAAACACGACCAACAGTTTGTGATGGTGTTTTAATGACACCAATTTGATTTCCAATGAAATATTCTTTGTTATGAACAATTTCTTTTGTATTTTTAGAATTCCATGGAATAAATGTTAAACTATTGTTCTTGTTTGATGATATATAGATCATGTTGTAGTCAGTGCTCAAGAGAAGAACTAAAATACTCCGTTCGAAGTAAAATGATTCAACTTTTCTGTAAATTACTTTTGATTTACCTTGCATTTCACTTAAAATAGGTTCAACAACACCGCCTGTAAATCCTCTTGTTATTTTGTATGAAATATGTTTCGTGTCATCCGAAATTGAGAAGAATAAGAAGTTTGTCACGTTTTGTGGCAAATTAACAAAAACAAATGTATTGTTTGACTTAGTAACAAGTGCTTTGTCTCCAAATGTTGAATATAAGTATGGTTTGCCATCAAAATATGCCAAAGGAGGGAATTTTCCTGTTGTATTAGAAAATGAATAAATTTCTGAGATCGTTGAACTTGGTGACCACAAAATGAAGTTGTCCTTGTTATTTCGGATAAATTCAGTTGTCAATTGGAAGTTTCCTGTATGAACATAAACATTTGATACATTAATTGCGTCAACAAGGACTCGAATTGAGATATTCTCTTTGGAAATAGTATTTACACAAAGAGCAGAACCTGGAGCAAGTGCGAAAAGCTGGCCTGCAACTGAATTAGATCTAATTTTTCCTTTGTGAGTGTATTGAGCGTTCAGTGGCTCTGAAAAGTAAACGTACGTGTTATGTTTAGGAGCAACAATGTATAATTGTTTGATTTCTTTGAGATTTAGATCATCAATAACTGTACTTTGTGAAAAATTCAAGTATTTCTTATGGAAATACTCTGAATCTTTAGGAATCATCGCCCAGCTTGTCATATTTTCTTCTAAAAGCTGAAACTGTTTCATTAAAACTGATTGATTTTGAGGTAAAAACGTGCTGATGCTTCTAATTGAGTATGTATATAGATATTTCTCATTGGAGTGCTGAACATTTTCAATATAAGGAAGCCAAACGCACTGATTTCCCTTTAATTGTGAGCGAAGTGTGTTTAAATCTAAGTATGTGGATGCAAGACCGAATCCTTTGCAATAGTTAGGTAATATTCTTGATTTTAATTCAAGTTGCTGATTAAAATGAGGCTTAATTAAGATACTTATATTTTGCTTTGCAGTGAATAATCCTGGATAACGAGATGGTTTGAGCGTGTAATTTGTTTTAATGCCGGACATTACTATTGACGCATTCCAGCCAAAAGGATTATCGATGAAGAATAATTGATTCTGAGAAAGTTGTATTGAATAGGTAGTATTTTGTAAAACGTCAACTGCGGTTGACGAGTTTGAGTTATAGCTTATTTTAACATAACTATAACAAAGAAATGAAAACATCACTTGAAAATTGTCACTTTTTCTAACATTTTCCATATCATTTCTTATATTTCATTTGCCTTACTGTTGCATGCTAAGTTCGGTCAACGATAGAAATTAAGTGGAAATTAATCGTCGAGGAAGTACGATTATGTAAAGTAAAAAAATGTTGTGGGATTTTTAATATTATATATTATTTTATAATAAATTTTTTTGAGTCATTTTAAGAAGCACATATAATTTTTTGAATTTAAAAATTAAAGTAGTGTCAAACGAATTTATCACTTAATTTAATACTCAGATTTCTTAAAATTAATGAAAAAAAGGTTTTCTGAGAACTTTTGAGAATGGTTTTCAAATTCCATTATTGAAAATATATAGGTATTGTATGAAATTCAGACTCTATATTTATTAAAATTCTAAATTTTTAATAAAATAACTTTTCAGAGGAATATGATTTTGAATGGTTGATTAATAAGTATAAAAATGTCTACGATTTTAAGGAGGGAATTGTTCCTTATGAGGTATACATCATAACTATATACCTCATAAGGAACAATTCCCTCTTGATAGCTGGGAAACTTTCTCTAAATAACTTATCATTTGGAGAAAGTTTCCCAGCTATCTATTAGAAACTAAAGGCTGTGAGGCACTAATATATAATCAGTGCCTCATAGCCTTTAGTTTCTTATTAAAAACGAGAAAACTTGTTCGAAATGATAAACAATTTCGAACAAGTTTTCTCGTTTTAAGGAGGGAATTGTTCCTTATGAGGTATACATCATAACTATATACCTCATAAGGAACAATTCCCTCTTGATATCCTGGATATTTTTGAATATATTTTTTTAATTAAAGTTCTCAAAAGTATTATCAAAAGTGATTTTTTAAAAATATCTCCAATTAATTAACTAATTAAAAGTATTATATTTTTAAAATTAAATAGTTTTTCAATTTTTTTGAAGGAATTGAGATACTTCCCACGACAATAAAATTGAGAGGTTTACATTATGACTGATCTTAGCATGCAACATTACATCAATAAAACAATGGAAATTCATTGTAAAATTGAACTTTTGCTATTACAATTTCAGATTTGATTCAGATGTTATGATTCAAAGCTTTTTATATAGCTGTGCATATGTATAACTATTAAAATATTGCGTGTTGGGATGTGTTCATCCCTTCTTTCTATATTGATATCCCACAAATCTTAAAAATCATTACAGAATTAATGAGTTTAAAAAATATAAGAAGGAATAAAGATTTTTAGACTATAGTTAACTGTTTAAAGTGACAAAATCAAACAATCAATAATAAATATGTAATAAAATACGCTAAAGTAGTGAAATTAACCATATAATTTTCAAATGGGAAGAAGTGACATAAAATAACATGAGTAATATGTGCTACCATTGTTGCAGCAAACGTTTGAAGAGGAAACGGATAATCACCACCTAAAATAATAGATATTGCGAATACAATAAGATCTCGTATGGTTCCGCCGTATACTGACCAAAGTGCTGCGGAAATAACCTTGTTTGGAAAATATGCAGCGCAAACACTTGAAAAGAACACCATTGTCCTACAGTCAACAAAACTTTTGAGTAGTAAATAAATGACTATATGTTCTGCAATGAAATTTGGATCAAGAATCCAAAATATAACATAAACTTCAATTAACCATGGAACCCAGAATTTGTAATCGGTAAATTTGAATGACTTTGGTATTTTATATACATTTAAGATAAGATAAGGAACGATAAGATCTGCTAAAACAAAAATGAAATAGAAAAATGGTAAAAAGCCGAAACCGCAGCGTGCAAATTCAACACAAGCTACAATGGGACACACGAGGAAGAATGATGGCCTTAAAAAATAATGTTCAATACGTCTTAGGTATCCATTCATTAAATAATGCCACTTTTTTTTATAATCATGTATCAGACAAGCAGCCAAGCTGCCATTCAGCTAATTTTAATATGTGGATGAGCATGCTTTAGCACTGATAACTGTGTGCCACGTGTGCATGCCAAGTAAATCCATATTTTTAATTAATGAATTAAAATATTGATCGTAAAATCATTAAGTTGGCAAATAATGTCCTTGTTTTTAAAAGCTTATTGAATAATATACCTTGATTATGTTCGAACATCTATAGTTCAGAAATACCTGTATTTTGAAATATTGATTTTCATGGGTGTTTCCTTTACCAAAAGCATTATCTCGAATTTTGTTTGCTTGATAGTGGAAGTTTAAAGTAATCTAAGAGTTGTGCCAAAATTCAAAGATACTTAAGGGATAATTAAGCTTAATCAATAACAAAACATCTGCTCTCTGAATGACTAAGCTATTTTGTAATATTTCGTGCTCTTTTAGTAGCATTTTTTGAGAATTAATTTCTTACATTATCCCCGTAAAAGAATTATCACAAGTGTAATTTGCCTGTATCTTTAGTATCTTTTAATTTTCAGGAGAAACGCATTAATGATGGAGATGTCATTTTTTGATGAAATTTTATTAGGCCAATGACGGTAACTACTTCAAATATTGCATGCCTAACTAGTTTAAAGCATCAATAAGAAAAAATTAGTTGTTGAGGTTTGATTCGCATTAATTCAAATTTTTGTACAGAATCAAATATCGGAATTAATAATTGAATACGTATAGATAAACGATAGTATTTAATACAATAGTACATAACATCAAAAATTTCAATAGTTAAATTTTGGAATTGAATCAAACATCTTATTAATGATAATTAAGAAGATAACTCAAATCTGATGGATCTATGCAGGACGGCTGCATATTAGAAACTTGAATTTCTTCTTCTTTGGGTATTTTCCTGATGAACGAAGGGAAATCTACGGTATTAAGAATGTAGTATATAGAGTTCCAATTTTCAGAGTACCAACAGAGGAGAGAGGTTCGGTTCCTCTTTGCTAATCTGTCAAGAGTCAAATTCAATTGTGAACTAAGAAGCTTTGCAAAAGAAATAAGAATAGTGGTCGTTACATTGGTTGAAAAGAACTTATTTAAATATTCATTAATAAAATTAATACGGTTTTTGTTAATTTTTATCCTCTTCTTGATCTTTTCATTATCACGGGTTGTCTGGCATTTAAAGGTTCTATGGTGTTTAATTTTCTTTTGTTCAGGATAAAGAGCTTTAAGATAGTGAGGTTCCATTGAGCAAAATGAATTTTGAAAAAACAGAATTTTGAATGAGCATGGATTTTGTGATAAAGATAGAAAACAAATTGAATATCGTTTGAAAATGAAATTTATGGCTTCGATTAAATTTAAATTTTGATTGTAGTAGCATAATATAGAAAGATTACATATAAAAACTCTTTGAATTGTTATAGACCGAAAATAGATTTTTTCGGTTTTCTCTTCAAATAATTGAAAGAATGATACTATTATAGGTTTATTATATTATATAGCATATAATCATGCTATAGCCGAAAATTATAAGTTTTGAGAAGATTGAATATAACACAAATAAATTTGAATGTAAGTTAAATTGCTTGTTGTTTTTAATAGCTATTTAATGAGAAATCCAATATTGCAAAATTCAAATTGAATGATTGAAAGAACAGAAAAAGTCATTCTTTTCAATTTCGAATATGTTTCATTGTATTTATAATTATATAGCAAATAAGATATTTAAACTTGATTTTTGAAGGAAAATTCACAAAATTGAATAAATTCAAATAATTTTTATTCAAAAATAAACTAGTTATTTGAGTTTAATACTAATTATCTATTCAAACTACAAAGTTTGTAATTTAAAATATTTTGTGAGATCAGATTGAATTAATTCAAGGTTCTTTTCAATTAATATTAATGACCATATTACGCATTTTCGAACATTCTAAACCAAATATATAAAAATGGGAGACGAATGTTAAATTTGCTAGACATGGGGGAGTTGTCTGCAAAGTTTTAGCTCTTATCTCTAACAAAAAATTAATTTTTAAAAAAATGACCGAATACGTTTCACAGCGAGAAAAAAATAAAAGGCAAGATAGAATTTTCTAGACATAAAGAAGTTGTTTACCGAGTTTTAGCTCTTATCTCTAACAAAAAATTAATTTTTAAAAAAAAGACCGAATACGTTTCACAGCGAGAAAAAAATAAAAGGCAAGAGCACAAATTAAAAATATGATATTTGTATTAGGAATAAGTAGTGAGTGCAAACTAATTGTTTATTAATTGAATGAATCAAATAATGGTAATAAAAAATTTATAAAAGTAGAAAAACTTAATCGGTGAATGCTGAACCGCAAATTAAATACAATATTGCACGGTTAATTAAATTGAATGCTGTGAAATTTTCAATGTTTATTTGACATTTTTAGTTGTAATCAATTTATATAGATTAATATTTGAATAAAATAGTTGATCGGTTTATTGTTTATTATTTGCTTAGTGCTCTCAAATAGAAAATATTGAATTTATTTTCGTATCATTGAAGTATTTCTTACAATGGCAGCTTGATTTTAGATAAAATTTATTTTTCTTTGCTGTTTTTTAATATTTCTCTTATTTTCCTGATTACGTAATAAATTCCACTGCTATTTTTAAATATGGTTAGTTTCACTTTTGAAAAGGTACATTCACTAGGCGATAACAGTAAAATGGGATGAAAATAGGATAAATAGCATCCCTATATAGTGCCTAACAATATTTATACGGGCCAAAAAAATTTGGCTAGAGATTTGGCGAGTTATAAAACTTAGAAAATTGAGAGGGATTTTTATTTTTGAATTTTTTTTGGAAAGTTAAAATTGCGATTAAAAATCGATTTCCAGGAGAACTAAGCATCTCATCATATATTTAAATCGATAAAAATATTAAATAATAGTTGAATAGTATAACAACGTGAAATTATGGCTGAATCTACAGAAAAAATGAACATATTTGACATTTTTGAAAATTCATACGTTAGATGGTGACAGACTCATAAACTATACTTTAGCTAAGATTGATATATGGTTTCAACAACACATGGTTAAAATCATAAAAATATTTTAGATTTCAAAAAGATATATATGGTAATATAATGGAACAAAGTCAACAAATAGCATGTTAAATATGTTATAATTAACTTTTTATTAGATCCAATAGTAGATATCGAATGGTTTCCAGCTTTATGGTTAAATATTTTCTTTTCGAGCTTCTCTTTAACTGTTGTATTAAGGTTGTAAATTTTTGATGCTAGAAACTATGGAATCTTCTTTGCTGCTGCATTTTTCTTGAGAGTTCTTGCAATTTCGAACAGATCTGCGCATTGTATGAAATGGAGGCTTTAAAATATCTTGAAAACAGAATAGGACTGCTTTTCCAAAGGAATGCTTACTTGTAAATCAGAGAGTTTCAAAATTGACAGCAAGATTATCATCATAACTTTCGATTTTGCTGCGAAAAAGGAAGACAAGTAATTAACAAATCATTTACTGTTGTTCATCAAAAGAAGAAAACTTTGATAACAACTAATGATGATAAAATCAAGCTATCTTTTAATATTTTAAATTGATAAGACATTCAAAATATTTGAATGGTTTAAAATATTTTCTTTTAATTTCTATAAGATATTATCATGATTATATAATAAAATTTAAATTTTTATTCAAAAAGGCAATATTTCAAACTTTTAATTTCAAAAATCTTAATTCTGCAATAAGTGTATGTAATTGTAGCAAATTTAATGATCCTTCGTCATGCTTAGCAATTTGGAACTCATAAATTAATGATTTCTTCAAGTAAAATTCTGCATTATTTCAAAAGTCAATAATTCTCTAGTAACTTTTCTTCAAACCCTAACCATTATATTATATGTATAATGGAGAATAATTGCAAAGAAAGATAGCCGAATTTACTGGGTAGTTCTTGTGATGCGAAATAATTGCAAATTAACACCTAGTTTTAACAGCATCAATCTCTTTTTGCTCTCATTTAAATGCATTCGCACACTTTAATTTTGAAATATAAGAGTTTTGGAAATTATCAAATTTATCTGCTCAAATACTATAGATCTTCATAAGTGTTAATAGAATCATTAGCCTTACATATAGTGTTTAATATAATGATGCACATTATACTGGGATTCATTCCTTATTCATCTAGTTATTATAAGATTTACAACCCCATGAAAATTTAAAATTTTGTTAAAAATAGTGAATGTACCTTTACTTTTGACAATAATTTGAATTCTATTTATTTTATTAACCGTGTCAACTTTAATATTTATTGATTTTCTTTACAATATAATTTGCAGTAATATTTTTCAAGGCTGACGTACTTTTTCCCTTTTCTGCAAATTTTTTTCAATGCGTTTCAAATTTTTGTTATTCACCGATTTTAAATTCTTTATACTTAATTGTACAATTTAATATATTCAAATTTTATTGAACCACAAGTTTCTCACAAATTTCTATCAATTATGTCCTGACATATTATTATAAGTAATTAAACTAAATTTTGCAAATTACCTCAGACTTTTCAGAGGATTGAGTGGCAACTCAATCCTCTGAAATAGTCTGTGGTAATTTTTAGTCTCTACACTATTTCAATATAAGCTCCATTTTTAAACAGTTTTTAAAAATCGAGCATTGAAAAGTGTGATGAGACTTTTTAATTAATTAAAATCAATTCAAAATTTTAACGTCTTGGTGTCACAAGGCCATAACAAATATTAATACCGAAATTGTTTTTAATTTAAATGTACTATGTCATTTCTCAAACAATTAATCGATTATCTTTTAAAAACTTTGATTCAGAACGAAAACTTCTACATTTCCCAATTTTAAATGATTGGCCAATTATCTATTCATTATTATATAACTATTTCAATATGTGTTAAAATTCAATTTGTGAGAATTTCCTAAATTTTTTCATTAAGCATTAAATCATCAAATTTTGTTGTTTTAATGATCAGTAATATCCATACTAATCTATAATTTCCATTAATTTGTCATTTTACGAATCAATGAATTCTGGCATTAAATTCTTTTCATTTGTATCTACCAAATATTTAAACTGACATCAGTATGTTCAAAACTGCATGAAAACAATATCCACCTGTTAAATTAAATTTTGAAATTTAGGTCTAACCATCGTCATGATTTATACGCATTTTCAAAAAACCGAAGTGATGTATTTTAATATTATTTGAATTAATTGATCCAACTTCTTTAAAAAGATGAATGATATTTAAATCTCATTTAAAACACTATTAATTTTGGTTTTCGAAATTAAAAATAGTAGATATATTAGGCTTTTATTATATTTCACTTTCTAAATATGTCTTGACAATTTTGAATAAAATAACAAAAAGATGATAATATTAATAATTTGTTGTGTAAATACTTACATCAGTATCTTCAGCAAAATCATTTCTAAATGGATCGCTATTATCATTAACATCTGTTAAGAATAATGGATTATCGTATGAAATTGAAGGATTTGAATTTATACCCTGATTATTAATTGTTTCTGTTATTACATAAGTTGAATAGCTATTAGATGATGATGTCACTTCTCTTTTCTTTTTAAAGTAGAAAATTAAAACAATTGCTGTAATTATAAATATTAGAGCACAAATTGATGCAATACTAATAATGAGTTTACTACTCTTTGTTTTTGATGAAGAACTTGAGTCAGCTCCATTTGAGTTGTTTGACTTTGTATTAGAAGCAATTGGATTTTCCATTAATGTTTCATATACTGTTCTAAGTGGTGTTTCACGTATTGTCTCAGAAAAAGTATCGATTGGAGTTCTTTCGAATGTTTCAATGGGTGTTCCAACTGGAGTTTGCATATATGTTTTGATTGGGGATATAAATGGAGTCTGAACTATAGATTGAAACGGAGAATTAAATTCGGTCTCTCTAGCTGTTAGGATAGGCGAATTAAAGGGTGTCCTTTCAAGAGTATTAAATGGTGTTTCTCCATTTGTTTGATATGGGGTATTAATAATAGTTGCAAATGGTGAATTAAAGGGTGTTTCTAAATTTGTTTCAGATGGTGTTACATATGGTGTTTCTTTATTTGTTTCAGATGGTGTTACATATGGTGTTTCTTTATTTGTTTCAGATGGTGTTACATATGGTGTTTCTTTATTTGTTTCAGATGGTGTTTCTTTACTTGTTTCAGATGGTGTTACATATGGTGTTTCTTCAAATGTTGTGAACGGACTAGCATGAATAGTATTAAAAGGTGTTTCAATTGCTGTATCATGAGGTGTATTCATTTCTGTATTGTATGGAGTATTAAATGGTGTTCGTTGGAGTGTTTGAAATGGAGTTTCTATTCCAGTTGAAAATGGAGTATCTATTGGAGTTTGAATTGGTGTTACTTGTGGAGTTATTGCTGGGGTATTGTAAGGTGTTGGTTGAAAAGTTGGAGACTTTTCTGGCAATGCATTAATTGCTTGACAGGAATCACTTGCGAAGAATTGATAATTTGGAAAATCAATGCTAGCACTATAAATCATTCCAAGAGTTGTGACAGAACCTTTAACATAGGTTGAATCCATATAAACATTTGTTTGAAGATAGATAATTGTTTTGTCACCATTAAAATATCCTTTAGAATTTATTGTGTTTCCAACAAAGTAACTATTTGCAATAATCATCACTCCATCACAATCTTCACCATAAATAAGTGAGTAATCATCAACTTCATTGTTTCTAAACGTTGCATACTGCATCAAGTAAGAGCCTGATGTATCTTTGTTATAAACAATTCCATCTGGACTGTAGCAATTTTCAAAGTTAATGTATTTCAAAACTACAGATGAAGTGCAAGTTGTATATAAAACTCCAAAACTCCAATATGAAGTAGTTCTTGAATAAGTAGCGCTACTTGAAGAAACATTCATGTTACGAACTGAAGGACCAACATCAAGAAAATACATAGTTTGGCATAAAGCTGTACAATCATAGCATGATAAATATGATATTTCTGGCTGAGTATATATGCCTATATATAGAATTCCAGCAACATCATCAGTACTTGTATTATAAGTGCAAATTGAATGCATATAAAGATTGGACCTTATTCGAATAAAAAAGTTTATTTGGATTAACCGGCTGTAATTCGAATAAAGTCCATATGTAATTATGATTACTTTTGTAATTAGGAATAATTGAATTTCTCGGAATTGAAAATTGAATGGAAATTCCAACCTTAATTCGTAATTCCAACCTTAATTCCTTAGTAATCAATTCAATTTCAATTTGAATAAAGAAGGTCTTATTCCAACTGAAAATAATAATAGGAATTTGGAATAAACTCAATTATAAGAATTAGGAATAGGAATATCGAATTACGAATATTGGATTGATTATAGGAATAAAGGTAGGGGAAAAAATTTAGGAGAAAAAAGGTTGTGCCTTCAACAGAATGACATTGCCTTCAATTCTGGTGTATGAGGTTAATTTTCAATGATGCTTCACCCCAGTGATCGGAAATTTGAATGGAAGTCAGCTTTAATTCTTATATCAATAAAATTCAATGATCTTATCATCTGCAATATGAAGAGCTGTTATTCCAGCAATATCTTTCTCATTGAAATTTACACTATGAAAAAAAATTCAACTCTTTCTTTATTATAATTCAATGCTGCCTAATGAAGAGCAGTTCTTCCTTCTTCATCTTTTTCATTGATATTTGCACCATGGTGCAGAAGAAACTAAATTAATAATTCTTTATTATTTTGTGCTGCAGTATGAAGAGCAGTTCCTCCAAAGTGATCCCTTTGATTGATATTTGCTCCAAGGGAGAAAAATATATACAAAGTGATGGAATATCAAACATCACTGAAAAAGCAAAACTTTATGTTAATATTACAAGTTTGATCGGAATAGATAAAAATGATTCAAGATTATTATCAGGATTAGACTAAAAAATCATCCTTCATGATTAATATGATCATTTTAAATAAGGAACCTAATTAATCTGCTATTTTATTTAGTCAATTCCTTAATCCATTTCCTAATTCCATTTTGGAAATGAATATTCCTAATTCTTATAATTGAGTTTATTCCAAATTCCTATTATTATTTTCAGTTGGAATAAGACCTTCTTTATTCGAATTGAAATTGAATTGATTACTAAGGAATTAAGGTTGGAATTACGAATTAAGGTTGGAATTTCCATTCAATTTTCAATTCCGAGAAATTCAATTATTCCTAATTACAAAAGTAATCATAATTACATATGGACTTTATTCGAATTACAGCCGGTTAATCCAAATAAACTTTTTTATTCGAATAAGGTCCATTATAATATCCAGTAAAACTGAAGGCACCGCCTTTATTTGCACGGCAATGTTCAAATGTACAGCGATATAATGTTGCATATTGAGCAACTGAACCTGAGTATAACCAAACTGCTGAACTTGTATCATATGTTCCAATATATTTGAAAAAGCAATCAATGAAAGTGAAATTTTCACTGCATTCAGTGTTAACGCTTGAAGTATATATTCCTGTATAATCAGTTGATGCTGATAATCTGCATAGAAGATGGCCCAGCATTTTATTTTATATGATATCGCGCTTTTAAAACAATGACTCAAATAAATTATGTACTTTTGCATCATAATTGAAAATATTAAAATATTGTCTATAATCAATTGTTAACACATGTAATATCGATATTTTCAAGGAAAACAACGATGACGATATAGAGAATAAATAGTTGAGGTTTAGATTATTTTTACCGTAAGTGCGGTACTCATTAGTATTTGATACTATGATCGTATTAAAGATTTTTCTGTTACATTGTTTCGTCTCAAAAAATTAAAATTTGAATCTACACACTGAATTATTTCTTTTGAATTGAATAATTTCAATTCCAAAAAGGTTTAAATATAAACAACGTTTTCTCTTAACAGGTCTAATATACTACTTATTGTAATAATATTTTTTAATTATTTCACAGAAATTAGCTTGTTAGACCAAATTTTAAATAATGATCTGATTCTAATATGTTCGATCAATACAATTCCCTAGTATAATATCGAAAAGATGCATTCAAAGCTCTTATAATGCGTCAAATATAAATATTGAAACTTTATTTATTCAATTTTTGCAATTATCGCAATTACTGTATATATCGTTTACAATTCTATCCAATATTTAAACATAATGCACATTGAGCCATGTTAGTTACTTTAATCATTTTAATATATGATTATTCTCATGTTTGGATAAGTTTTGATAGTTTCTATATGTCAAAGATATTTGTATTTCGAAGTGTATTGAGTAGGATACTATTCCAAAGTTAAAACCTGTGTTTTCTAAATTTATCAGAAATTTGATGGATATATTAGCTTTATTTAAATTTTTCCAATGCATCATTTATGCTAATTAAGGATGTCAATTCGGAAAATTGTTTTCGTTTTAGGAGAATATAATTTTCCATTTGGAAAATTTAAAAAGTGAGACGCGCAGGATTCGAACTTTTTTAAAAGTTGATTTAAATATATTCTAGTGTGGAATCTAAGGATAATATCATATTTAAAATAAGAATATACGAGTTTAGGTAGTATTATTTTTTCGATAAATTTGAGAGTATGTACGTTTAGGCATCAAAAGTGTCAATTCGCTCAGCGAAAGCTGAGCTAGCTTCGTTCTCGAAAAAATAGGGAAGAAGTGAAGGAGAGTGATACAGATGTTGACACATTCATATAATTTCAACAAATTTTGATCAAATTGAAATTCAATGAAATTCAATTCACTTCATATCCTTCAGTCAGTACATTGACATCCTTCTACATCACAATGATAACTCGGGAATCAATAGTTCTACAACTAACTCAGAAAAAAAAACAAGATTTTTACTTCCAGCTTGCAGCTTTTAAAAAGTTTCGATGATAAAAATCACTCTACTCTTGTTTATAGATATGTGATGATAGTAGGTAAACATATTCTTATCGATATTAATAAAAATATTTTTACGAAAATCTGAACCAATTACAGAGTTATTCATAAAGTTTATGATAACTGTAATTATTTCATCTTTGTTTTATATTTGAATAAACAATTTAATTTAAATTGCATAATATTTTTTGGTTGAAAGACAGGAAACTTAGTTGAGTTTGTATTATTTTTATCGTTTAATTCATCGTATCAGTGAGTGATCCAGATATTTAAGATATTTAGAAAAAAATTATTAATTTGATTAACAAATTTTAATCAAAATAGCAAAAATCTATTTGATAGCTGTAAACAAACAATAATTTTTATTTCAAGCAAAATCACTTATTTTCATCTAAACGTATAAAATTGTCAATTTTATAAAAATAAATTGAAAATCTCAAGAAATGTAAAGGAGAGTAATATTTTTCAATTTTCTTTTTTCTTTGTCTCAAATATTTTCTGTTGGGAATTTTCTTGTTATCAAAAAATAATTTTAATATTTGTTTATTTATTACATACAATAAAATTTTAAAAACTCTATTTCTTCTCAAGAAAATTTTTTTCCTTCATATGAAGAAACATTTTGTTCTCCATTTGATACTGAGTCTAAATCTCGATTTTTGAATTTTCTTCTTTCCAAATTTCTTTTTTCCAAATTAGAAGTTTAATTCAAATTTTCAATAGTTTATATATTTTCTCAAACCGTCTCAGATTTTCTTACTTTTTAGGGATTTTCTCTCAAAATATACAAAAATAGTAATATCAATACATATGTCTAATATACTTTAAAACCATCGTGACAAAATTCAAAAACGAAGAGTTCTTCTCTCCAAATTTTTTTCAAAATCAAAAAAATGAGATAAAAAAGTACGTTTGGAAAATTCATTTTTAGCATTTTAGGAATTTTCTCACTTTTCTTCCAAATTGACATCCTTATGCTAATATAAAATGATATTTTGTTTGATCAAAAAAAACAAAATTTGTAAATTCTCATATGTCGTTTTAGAACAGCAATCTAGTTTCCTAAATTTCCTAAAATTTTCTAAAAAAGAGCACAAAATTTTTCCTTATCCCTCGGAAAAAAATCGAATTTTTGTAAATAAATTTTCTGACAGGCCACGAAATCATTTCTTTAATGGAACAATATTATAGGTTACAGAAAGCAGTTAATACAATTGAAAACAATGTCCCTGATGTTGCCTCCACCATTATTACATCAGAATTTACAAAGACTACACAAGGAATTCAATATATTGCACATGAAATTGTCCAAACAGCATCAATTCGACCGAAATCTATTCAAAATCTATCAAATCTTGTTGCGCAGCTCATTTCTAAGCAGTCATCTGAAAACAAATTCGGTAAATTAATTTCATATATCCTTGATGAGATGAGATATTACAATGGCACCGAAGACAATAAGATTTACCCTGTTTTGAAGTTCGTCCGTCTCCTTTACAACCTCAATCTCGTTACAATTGATGAAATTAAGAAACTTTTAACAATTCATCCAGAAGGACCATTCACGAAAGTGTTACACAATTGCTTCATACCAGAAATTGGCCTCCAAGTTGGCGTTATCCATCCATGGCCAAAGAGCATCATCTCAGAAACTTGGGATGAACTAGCTATCGAAAATTTCAATGGCTACATCATGCGCGAAGGCGATGAAGGTTCAATCAACCACTTATTACGTGCAGATGACCCAAGTTTCATTCCTGATGACAAATTCAACTTCAAACGTCAAATCTTCTACCCAGAGATAGGCAAGTCACTCCCTCTCCTCGATATCGCAGCTTACTACGCTTCAATCAAGTGCTTCAGAGCTATTTCCGCAAAAGTCAACCAATACGACCAAGAAATCGCTCGTTGTGCAGCTATCGGTGGTAATGCTGAAATCCTTAAGTATCTACAAGCCAGAAACATTCCTGTTGCAAAGCAACTCGATATTACCATTCAATACCACAACATTGAAGCTTTTGAATACTTAAATAGCCTCGACGATAAGTTTTCAAACAAATCTATCGTCGGAATAGAGGTCGAACACAATTTCATCCACCTTTTACAACAGAAGCCAGAAGCTACAGTTTTAGAGCATTTCACGAAGCTACATAATGCTGTTTGTGGTGGCCATTCATTTGCAGCAAGCTTTGTTGTTAAAACAATACCTTCTGCGTTGAATCCATCTCTTACTCCAGAAAATGACACTTTAGCAGCAGCCGTAGTCAATAATATACCAGACGTTGTTACAGCGTACCTCACTGCATTCCCTAAGTTAGTCCATCGTTTTCCAAACAAAGATTCAGATTTATATAGCGCATGCGTTCACGAAAGAAGCGAAGTCATCCATACATTATTACAGTTCCCAGTAGATATAATGCAGGGATGCCCTTGCCATGTCGTAGCTTTGAAGGGAAGACTTAATATCGTGAAAGAGTTCTTTGAAAGGAAGGACTTCGACCACAACGCTAGGAATAAAGATGGACTTACTATTCTCAATGCAGCCATCATCTCAGGTAACGATGATTTGGTATATTATATCTTTGATAAGTATCCACAGCTCGAATGGACAGATACATTGGGCCAAACACCATTGCATTGTGCTGTTGCCAACCAGAACTACGTTTTGACCGAGTATTTCCTTGGAAAAGGTGCAAATATAAACACACAAGATTCTACCGGAAGAACTCCATTGCATACAGCATGCGCTTTAGGAGATATCGGGTTGGCATCAATTCTCCTCAACGTCCAAGGCATCAACATCAACTTACTGACACAGCACAAGAGAACTCCACTTCATGAAGCCATCAAAAAAGGTGACATTGAATGTATCAAAGCATTGTGTCAGAGAGATGATTTAGATCCAAACATCAAAGATGACGCAGACAGAACACCACTCCACGAGGCAATTCTCGGTGGAAGAGCTGAATCAGTAACACAAGTTCTCAACATAAAGAATGTCGACAAATCTCTCAAATGCAAGGGAAAGTCTGCATTCAAACTCGCTGCAACAAAGGAAATGAGAAAACTTGTTTTAGATAATGGCTGTCCAAAATAAATAGATATATTTTTGAATAAAGGTGTTGTCAAACATTTGATAAATTAAAATTTTTTTTGTATTATGATAATATATCGTCAACTTACGCCCATCTGACATGGCTTTCAATTTGGATGTTTAGGGTTGATTTTCAATGATGCTTCTATCAAAAATTTGAATTAAAGTCAGATGGGCGTAAGTGCAGCCTTAATAACTATTTAAAAAATAATAACCTAAGGTATACTTTTGAATGTAAGGTGGAAAAGTTTAGGCTCAAAGTTCCTCTATATATCCACCACTATATAACACCTGAAAGTTTCGCCTTTATAAGTCAAATCTATCTAGGAAATTTTATGCTTTTATGTGATAAAAATATTATGTAATTTCCTTGGAAAACTGTTTTAGTATAACCTATAAATTTGAACCACATAATGAACTGATGAGGAGGAAACTTTGGGGGATGATATAGTGTTAGATATAGAGCAAACATGATCTCAAACTTTCACGCGATACATTCAAAAATACATTGAGGTCTAGACTTTTTTTTTCGCAGTAGACCGAAACATCCTAAGGGAACTCTTACACCCATTTGACTTTAAACCTAATATATGACAACTTTAAATAACAGAATTGAATTACATATCATTTTAAGTTATATCGAAGAAGAGTTTTTCATGAAAGATTGTTTGAATCAAACTTTTCCTGTCAGAGGGTTTAAAACACAGAAATTCTCGTTTACTTTCATTTGTCGAAGTATTAGGATCCAAAGGCCGCACAAATTTCACTCACTGGTTGAACAGAGTCTAAGAAATGCTTAATATAATATTATAAAAATGAAAAATTACCTGGAAAAACAGCTCCCAATATTCAATAGTTATGGCCTAAATATGTCAATGTGGTAAAACTAAGCAAAATCTCTCAAAATTGAGTGGAGCTTTGGCCGTAGTAGTATGGTTTTTATTCTATCTATGTTATTACGACTTACTTCTTTGAGAAAAGTGAACACAGTGAAGAAACGAAACGGCGTGAATAATACTGAATTCTTTTGATTTTTGTGACTTTCTTAGATATATCTTCAATTTCGTTGATGGGATAGTTTGCTTCACAAAAGTAAGTTGAAAAATGATGAAGATCATGAGTTGAAGATAAATAGTGAATACTTTTGGTTGTGTACTCACCATGCAGGATCTGTCTATCGCAGTATGTATTTTCAATTTCAAATATGCAATCATCGGTGTATAAAGAGAAATCTGAATTTGGTCCTATGTTCCCCAGAAATGAACAATTATTGACTTTTATTTCTGCTGATGTGATTGCAGTTAATGTTCCAAATTCCGAACCGTGGTATTCATTTTTCAGCACGTTACAAAATTTAAATTCAAAATTACTTTGTTCGACATAAATTATTAATTCTGAGGCTTTCGTGTTACAAAATGAGGAAAATGAAGCACAACTGCCAGTTAGTGCATCTGTAATTGTGATTCCTGAAGCATGTTCTGCATAGCAGAAGCTTGTATTTGTCGAATTAATAAAAAATTTTCCTGCATTAATAGAATTCATACTGCCAGAATATCTATTTGAATCCCCGCAATCATAGAACGAGCATTCAGATATATAACTAGGACTTGCTGAACCAATGGAGGCATATGTGCGTTGCACATCTCCAGTAGTTTTTGATTTGTAGGCACATGAGCGATATTGAACAATGGGGCTATTGCTATTAAAGTAAATAATACCATCGATCCTATTACCTCCACCACACTGAGAAAATAAAGTTAATGCATGAAGAAATTGAATGTTATTTTTATCAAGACGAATTGCAGATTTATCTGTAATATCTTCGAATGTGCTTTTGTATATGAAACATTTGTTATCTGTTGTTTTTGCTTCAACATTTGTCCCTGAAATCTCTTCAGGATTTGTAGAACTTGGATAAAAGAATTGCCAAATATCATTAGCCGAAATCCCGGGATATTATTGTCTTGATTCCTGATTCTCTTGATTGGAATCCCGGAAACCAATCAAGAGTTAAAAAACGGTTTTCTCAGAAAAAAAATTCAATATCATATAAAAATTTATTTTTTATGATTTTTCTCAACTTGCAGTTAAGATATGGCATGTTTATACGAGACGATTTAATACGTAAGTTTGTAAACTATTCAAAATTGAGAGCTTTGTTTTCAAAATTATTGCATTAATAAATGATGAAATACTAAAAATTAAATTCCATTCACTCATTATGCTAAATAGCCTCACCGATTCAGTGTTATCTAGAGCAAATCAACTTGAGTTTTTCCATTTACTTCGAAGTTTATAAAGCTTCGAATTAATCAAGGAAAAAAAATAAGATGTCAGTCTAAGTCTATCTTCTGTTAAATTAATCTTGAAGTTTGAAACAAGAAAAGAATTCACAGAGAAGTCAAGGTAAAACTCCGCATCACAAGGCATCATGTAACATTCCTTCAGAGTTTAAAAGAAGTTTCTGAGACATCATATTTTTCATTGTATATTAATTGATTTATAACATAATTATATGAACATTATTTTGATGTAAATGTGATAAATAAAGCACTGTAAATCAATGAATTTGAAATATAGATGTGTAAAAGTAATATTACAATACAATTTTTACAAACAAAATATAAAAAATAATATTAAAGTTAATATTGATCACTTCTCTTAACTCTGATTCTTGATGATGGCTTGCTTTGCTTCATGACACCTCTAACATCAATTCCTCCTAAGTTCAATCTCGACTGTCCTCTGTTCTTTATCTCATTAAATTTCCTCTTTGTTCTTGGAGTTGTTAAGTTTTGTGTTGGACTATATGAAACTTGGTTCTCTCTGATATTAGAGTGGTTTGATCTTTGTCTGATAGAGTATTTGAGAGCTTGATGTCCATTTCTTTCTAGTTGATGAAGCAACTGTTTCATTGGAGTTATTTCTGCTTCTCTTTCTAATTCGATTGCTGTTTTCTGTCTTGCCCAATTTTGACTTGCGCATTCATCTTCTCTTTCATGTTTTTGCTGCAATTGAGTGAATAATATCTTTACCTTTCTAATGGCTCTTCTTCTTGCTGTTTCCGTTTCTTCCTTTTCGAGTTGATCTGCATGTCTTTTCAGTTCTTTTGCTCCGTTGTAGTCTTTTTGAAGAGCTCTGATTCTCTGTTGCTCTCTGAGACTTAGTAGACGTGATGATGGCTTATCAAACTCATGAATGAAGTCTGGAGAACTGACTTTGGCTTCAAGAAGTTTAATTTCACTTTCATGAGAAGATTGCAATTCTTTCATTTTGAGTTGTGTAGATTCTTCGAATTCCTTTATCTTATTGTTGTATTTTTCTTCGCAATCTTGTATATTTTGCTTAGTTTGTTCAATTCTCATTTCGACAGTGATTACAGGTTCTTCTTTTGGCTTTGTCATCTCGCAATTATGCTCTAAGAACTTGATGGCTTCATCTAATTCTTGTGCTCTATCATAATCTTCAATTCCAACAGCATCAAGTTGAAGATTTTTTGCATATTTAATTAATTCAGCTCTCATTTCAGGCATTGGACGTTGCTTTTGATTCACAACTTCTGAAAGAGCCTGTTCAAGCTCAGATTCAGAGTATTTTGGAGGTTCTTCAACATCTTGAGATTGTAATTGAGATGAACTTGGAGATTCCGGCTGCGGAGATGTTGACTCTGGAGGTGTATTTGGCTGTGGAGATTTGAAATTGACTGTCATACCGGGTTCAGTATTTGACGATTCTGAAACCTTTGGTGTTTGGCTTTTTGCCGTACTGGGAGTGATTTCTCCATCAATGTGTTCATCAATTTCAGTATTTATTGGTTTTGATGATGTCTTTTGTATGGACGAACGAATACTTGCAATAATTGGCATTTTAAGACTTGTAAGCATAAGAGATGGTTGTTTTGATGAGTTAGGAGTGGCACAATTCGAATTTGCATTTGGTAAAATTGATTTTTGGTTGTTTGATTTCGGAATTGCAATAGCTGGAACAACTGGTGGTGGTGCAAGCTTTGCTTTTGGAGGTGACTCAGGTAATTCTTCATGTTTCTTCTCTGTATTTTTTGCTGGTATTGGAAAATCTAATAATTCTTCTGTGGATTGAGAATCATAAGAATCTGATAATATACCTTCATGCGACATATCGTTTAAAGATGGAATTTGCGGAGAAGTTGACGTGCTCGTGCTTGGAAAAATAGATGGAGGAGGCGAATTCATTATAAACGTACTAAAAATTTTATAAAAGTGACGAAAATCCCAAAAGTGACAGATTTCTTGAATTTTTGAATTTCGCATAATTATGATTGAAAATCATGATGTGCTGAATATTAAAGATCAAGAAAATCTAAAATTAGAGACCGTTCTCGTTAGTCCTGAGTTTCTTATGGCATGGAACATCAATGATGAAGATGTCATCGAATATGTAACTAAAAATATCGAGGAAATCGAGAGATACGCATTCCTCATGAAGCCCCAAAGCGAATATATGCTAAATAGCAGATGTTTGACGATATTACAATGTCAAAATAAACAATTTTACAAAAAAATCTTCAGAATTCATAAATTCTTCGATGTTATATTAGAATATGCGGCTAGTTTAGATAAATACACTTCGAAAAGTCATAAAAACTTCTTTGATACAATATCATATTTTATCATGTCCTCAGGATTCATATTTTTCAAAAGATTCGACTTTGTTACATTCTTTTCATCACTCTGTGATCATTTAAACTATGAACCACCTGCAGAATTCATCAAAAACGTTTTAAGAAATTTAAATTTTCGTTCACTATCAATATTCAAGCATTCAACACTTATTAACATACTTATTGACAAGTTCACAAACCAATATTCTACAGAAAACTACTCATTATCCATACTAATTCAAGGATTTCAAAATGAATACTTCATAAAACTATTAATTGACCCTTTATTGACATCATTAGACAGTATCATCAATACTACACTAGAAAACAAAAGCAAAGAAGGCGTAATCTTTATTGCAAAGTGTTTTTCTGTTTCATTTCAAAATCGAAAAATTTCTGAATGGAAAAAAGTCAGAGAAATCATTTTAAATTCATCCAAGAAATTCCTGGAAACATTGAAACAAGTCAGTTGTATTTATGATGATTGTGTTTGTAGGCTTCTTTTAATGATATACACTCAAGAAGAAATCATTTGTAATTCGGAATTCATTGATTTCTCACGTGTAATTATTAAATCATTTATTCTTTGTCCGCAGAACTCTTTTCTTGCGAATTATTCATGTAGAGTTATCAGACAGATTTGTAGATTTGAAACGAAGATTCTTATTTCATTTATTTATGATGTTAATTTAGTTGATTTTCTTATTTCAGTTTATACTGATGAAAATCAGTTGATGACTTGCAACTGGAATCAAATAAGAGATATTGCGAATACTATTAGTCCGTATATTAATTTGGAACAAAACGTTGAATGGAATCGTGTTTTGTTATCTTTTCATTTCAAAAATCCTAGTTTTGTGCATATTTCGCATAGGGAAACTAATATGAAACTAGTTGCACAAGAAAGTCAAGAAAATGCTTTCGAAATTGTTTGGAATCGTAATAATGTTATTAACTGTATTTGTATCCTTCTTGTTTTCTTTCTTATTATTTGGCTTTTCGGATTTTAATTTATTGTTATATTGTTATTTTTGTTTTGTTTGTTAAACATGTAGATTATACAATTTCTTTGATTCGATTGTTTTCCTAAGTGTTTAGTCACCCCCAAGGTGTAACCCCCTGCATTTTTCTTTGAAATTTTCGGTGTTAGATGGAACATTTATTGAGCTCGTATTGATTTTTAAAGAATTGTTGATATTGATGATGTATAAATTTACTAAATTCTATCGAAGCACATTTTTCTGGGTCCAGGAAATTAGACGGGTCCTGGCGGTTTATGTTTCAATTTTTGAAGAGTGTATTTGATTTTGATAAGAGAACAATATAAAACCGATTGTAAACTTTGTAGACTATTCAAAATTCCCCAAAAATTCATCATATGCAATATTTCAAATATAAGTGTTTCTATGGACAACTGTTTTAAATAATACCCAGGACCCTCAAGAAAATGTGGGACCCAAAAAATGTGCAATGTTATATACGGAGAGTTATCATATTCATCAACTAAATTTCGCATTTTTTCAATTTGTCACTCAAATTGAATGTAAAATAATCGTTTTTATCATGTTTTGACTAATTTGACAAAATGATTTACAAAATTCAACGTATTTCGGAAATGGTGTATTAACAAAATTATCTTGTCATCTCCCATGAGAATTTTATATTTTATTCAAAAAGTGACAAAAATTTTGTATTTGATTTCTAATCGGATAATGTAATCAAATATGGATCGACCCATAAGGACAATGTTCCAAAAGATCTATGGATCTCATACTTTGGTGAAGAATGTCGCAACTTTATTGAATATAAAAGCAACCCCAAATTATCTTATTCAAACAATCAAGTATTCTTATTTCAATGTGTGTTTCGCGATTACACTTCATCTGTTATTCTATACAGTTCATCTGGTTCAAAAATCATGCATTCTGAATGTTTATTTGATTATTGTAATTCGGAAAGAGGTAATGCTGTGTGGGTAGAATCTTCACATAGTTCTGTTGTCCAACATATATTTTGTTCTTATAACTGTACAATTGGTAAAATGGGGGTACACTCATAAATTAGTTTGTCAAGATCAACAGAATTTAGCTATGTTATTGAAAGTTCTGTTTGTGAATGTGGTAGTAATTCAGGAAGATCTCTTTTTTATAATTATAATGGAATGGTGAGTTTTGCATCTACAAATATTAGTAGAAATAGTTTAATTTCTCATGTTGCACTAGAAGTATCTTCTCCAAACTTCCAGAATATGAGTTATTGTACTATTGAAAGCAACAATGCTTCAAGTTATATAATGTTTTATCTGGATGGAGTTAATGAATATATATTTGAAAAATGTAATATTTTGAAGAATTTTCAAGAAAGTAATGATTATGGTAATATGTATATATATGGCCAATTGATATTAGATGTGTGTTCAATATTAGAAGATCGTGGAAAAGGGCAAACATTTTACCTTAAAGATGCTTCTACCGTCACAGTGAAAAATTCGTTTTATGATTCATTGACTTATAATATTCGAATTACTACTTCTGAAAATAATACCAAGACATCTAAATATATCGACCTTAATTATTTTTATGCATACCTTTGTGATTTTTACCCAACATTCTTCAATCGTATAAATTTGAACAAAAATAACAAGTGTTCATTGAGAGCGTGCTACAATGGAAATTGGTTGAATCGTAGGGATTTTGCTGTAGTGATGATTGTACGTAAAATTTAAAATATTTATTAATGGTTTTCAAAGAGGAAAGAAACAATAAGTAACTCTCAAATAGCACTTATAATGTTAAACTCATTTTGCAATGAGTAGTTTGTACATCGCTGCTCATTCACCCTTAAAACATAAAGAAAAAAAAATATGAGATCTCCAAAATTGATTTTTTTTTTAAATTTGAAATTGTTACTGATATCAACGAAGGCTAAAAACACCATAAGGTAGAGTAGCTATGCATGGAGGCTTTGTAATTCTGAGATGTTTCTCATGAAGCTTTAGTAATGAATGCTAAACGAACTCTCTTTAAAAAAAAAAACGATATTTCAATTCTTTCACCTCAAAATAAATTGAATAACAGATTAGTAAATAATGAAATATTATTGGTATAAAAGAATTATATCTGAAATCATATTTTGATAGGAAATCCCCCCTTTCTAAAAAAATTGAGTAGTTGTTGAATGAGATGCGTCTATTGTTAAGGGTGCACACGAGAGGATCATGTAAACTTCAGAATTTAGAACCTTATTTTTAGGCATTATCTTGGCTACCTATTTAGGCTCGAAAAGCAAAAAATATCAAAAAATACAACTTGAGTCCATTATGACCCTTTCATGGAGGTAGTTTTTATCCGCTAGTATTTTCCCTTTGAATCTCTTTACAATTCGAAATCAAATTCAAACCTCAGTAGAAGAAAGGAAGAATCGACTTACTACGGTTGTAATACGAATAAATACATATATTTAATTATTTTTATTTACATAATAATTGTTTGAAGCTCATATTCCATCAAATTTTTAAATAAAAACATTAAAATGTTGAAAATGTTCATATATTTTAATAGGGTTTTGGCACTTTATTGAGGAATTACTACATACATAGTCGAACTGAACTTGATATTTTGAAATTTAAATTATTTATCAAAATTAAAATTTAACTTGAAATTTATAATTATTTAGTCATATTTTGCATAATTCTAAGTAGATTTTGTAAAAAATCAAGAAAGAAAAATTTTAACGTGCTTTATTTTTTCTTTTTTATAATAATACATATTATTATATAATTAACATATTCATAATGTTTCACCCTTTCAAAAATATAATCCTCCTCCTCTCAAATAAACGTACATACGGGTGGCCTCTTTTTTCAAAAAATTAAAATTTGAAATTTTGGGCTCAAATATTAGAGAATTTTTCAACCTTCAACGATATATGTTGTCTATATCAGACCTCCTTTCTTTTTGATACTTAACATTGTTCCTAAATCTTAGCCGTTAAGGCTGTTCTGAAAATATTTTTTTTTCGAAAAAATTCGAAAAAAATTCTTAAAATTCAAAAATCCCTTAATTCCTGAGGATAGGGTTGTTAGATTCCCGACGATAGGTGTCTTGGAAGATTTGCCTGGTGTCATCATAGTGTCTTTAAATCAAAAATTTTATTTTCGAGTTAGTTTTATTGATTTTTCAATAAAAAACATTTCTAAAACAAGAAAATAAAACGATAAAATATTTATATTTTATATAAGGATCTTATATATTTAAAATAATATCATTTTATTTTTTTCATTGGTGTCTGTCAAACCATAATACACTATTCAAAAATTCAATGTGTCTTGCGGTTTCAAAAGACACCTTCAAATTGAACGATAGCACAGACACTATTGAATTTTACCCATTTTATTTAGTTTTTACCCTTTTTTCTTTTTAAGAATTAATGACTGAAACAGCCGTTTTGCTATGACCTCAATCAATTTTATTTATTATTTTAAATATTATTTAATTTTATTATTTGAATAGGCCAACTTATATTTGAGAAGCTCAATTTGAGACCACTTAATACATTGAAATATCATAAATATTGAAATATTAAAAAGTGTATTTCAAAATATTGAAATTATAAAAATTTATAATACTGAAATTGAGACAAATTAATAAATTCAATGTGCTTTTTTTTGAAATAACTCTCAAATATTATTTTTTTGTTTATTTAATGATGAATAAATATGATTGCTTTAGTCAATCATAAAAACTAATTTAAGTTTAAAATAATGAAAGGATAATTTGATCGTTTTTTAAAATACAATTATTTTTGATGATTTGCAAGAGTCTTTGAAAAGAATATAATATAGGTTCTATTTTTGTAAAATTTATCCAAATCATGTATTCCATAAATTACGATTAAAAGAATGAAAGAACCAAAAAGTGTGTTTTGTGTTTTGTTGTTGCGTGTTGGATGCGGGATCCTGTTATTTCTGAAATCGACAAAAAATTTGGAAATTTAATTTCCGAAATCGAAATTATATTAATGTTTTTAATATTCTTATATCAAAAGGATTAAAGTTCATTAAGAGTAAAACAATTCTTCTTCTTCAATCTATTGGCGCATTTATTTCTACACGCCAATAAGGAAGGGCAAATTATAAGACACCATGGTGTCTTCAAAACGCTAATTTTTGATATTTTTAACAACCCTACCTGAGGATTTTGGAAAAAAGTTTTTACATGAACATGTGTATATTATATGAAGTATATTGATAAGGTAAAAATCAAATTTTATTGCATATTCATTGAGAAAATAAACTAACGAATCCCTCAAAATTGAGAGGGTGATCCTCCTCTCGAATAAACGTACATACGGGTGCACCCTTAAGTATTGATGAGCATCCTATCATTCAATCACTAAAACTTCGCGGAGATCTTAAACCTCCAAACTCACCATTTGGTCCTGATTTTTCGTACCCTCTTTTAATTAAACAAGTTTCAATTGAAGAACGCGAAGACATTTACAAGAAATTAATCTACGATTCAGCAAAGGTTGTCATGACATTTTATGATCTTGTCCTTAATTTGTCCAAAGACGACTTTGTCAAGATTTCAAACTTAATTTCATCGAATCAAGTCTCAGAAATCAACAGATTTATTCTTATTTTAAATATTTGTGTTCAATACATCTGTCAATGCAGCAGTGAACAAAATCAAATCTTACTTCACCAAATCTTTACTTGGTTGAACACATTTCCTATTCCCTCCGAGCACAAAAAGACTACAGATTGGATGTTTTATTTTGTTGTCAACGCATCTATCAAGAATATCAATAAATTTCCATTATCGGAATATATTGAAGAGATGAACAAGTATTTATCAACCATAACTGATCCACATCCATTCTACGTTGCATCTCTCATTGACTGGGTTAAGCAGAATCAAATAGAAAACCCACAATTAGTTACATCAAATTTTATCGACGCTCTTGACTACATGCAGAAGATATTGAACGAATACCCTACACTACGTGACAATGAGATGCTTTCGGAGATCTCAGGACCTCTTACTCCCTTCCTTATGAACTTAGATCCTCTTCCTCTACTTTTTCTTAGCAAAATCGCACCATGCTTCGACGAAGACCTGTTTAAACCACTTGTACAGTTCATATTCAAAGGTTTTTCCAAGATTGAAGACGAAGAACTCGTAAATTTGAAATTTAATTTCGAAGATTTACCGAAAACATCAGTTTTTCTTGATATGAAAGAAGAAGTCACACGATTTCAACCATCATCAACAGCATTCGATAAGATTTTTGACTACAAATACCCAAATATTGACAAATTACCTGCAATTTCAACTTTGATTCCGAAACCAAAGCTAAACATATTAAAAATTGTTGGATTAATCGCAAACAACTTACAGAACTGTTCAATTCCTTGTATCATCCAAACATTTGAGAAAATAAACGAAAACCAAAAAATTCCTCAATATTTAGATTTATGTCTTTTTCTAACAATTGTTTCAAGTTCAATAAATTTCAATAGTTTACAAAATCAAAATTCAATGGTCTCTCAAAATTCAATGATTTCTCAAAATTTGAATAGTTTACAAAATGTAAGTTCACAAAATATTTATAAGTCATTAATAGATACAATTATATTTAATCCGTCGATTACTATTTTTGAAACCAATTTAAATGAATCAATTAATAATTTATTACTTGTTAGATCATTTTGTATCAAAAGCATCTTTAAATATCCAAATTTGATTGCAGAATTATTTGATAGAAATGTCAAATATCCGGAAATGTTTTGTGAATTAGTTTTACGATTAAAAGAAAGTATTTCCGAAGTTTCCGATGAAGCGTTTATTAGTTCCAAACTAATGCATTCATTTTCCACATCTATGAGGTATTCAATACACAATGCATTTAAAGACAATCAACGCATCATTTGCGAGAAAAATGTATGTAGTATATTTACTTTTTTAAAGGAATTAGAAAAACAAAAAGTCAACAATCCGAATATAATAAAAAGTTGGCTTTCTAATGAAGAGTTTATCTTCAATTTCATTGATTGCACTAATTGTCATTTCAGGAGATTGTTTGTTTTCAATGTTTTTAGAATGAAATGGGATTATTTTTCTGATGAAAAATCTATTGTTTCCGAATTGTTGTTTTTACAAAATATTTTTGCAAACCAATATGAATCATTGGATAAAAATGAGCAGGAAATGTTATTATTTGATACAATACAATTCATTAAAATGGCTATAACTGATTTTAAAGAAACTATGAAGCATTTGTCGAAAAATATTGAAATATTGTGTTATTTCTTACCAAAGGTGTCGACTGAAGAACATGGACTGAATATAATTGTTGAATTTACACAATTAATCAATTGTCTGCTGGATTCTATACCTATAACACCTGTTGTGATCGAATCTATTGCTAAAGGGTCTTTGAATGTAACGAAAGGAGTAATGAACGAATTATTAATTACGGCTTTGTTATCTGCAGCTTCTGGACAAGTTTTCGAAGAAGTTACTCCTAAGATTATTATCAAAACACCTATTTTTATTAAGGTAATGTGTGAAATTTACATAGATACTGAATCTGCTTCGAATATCTTCATTCTTGTACAGAATATGTGTAAATTTTCACGTGATAATGCTAAGTTATGCCATAAAATTGGCATCGATATGCTCTTATTGTCATTTATTAATAAGAAAAAATTTGATAAATATTTACCAAAGTCGTATGTACCTGCTCTTGAGTTATTATCATGTATTGCGACTGTTTCATCATCAACGCCGGTTGTAAGTAGCTTTATTTCCTTGTTTTGCCCAGATTCAACAAAACATTTATCTCAATACCACTCAATCTTCATCGATAGAATGATAATGTTGATAAAAGATAATTCTAACCCCGGTGAACTATCTTTCAAGGAAGTTTTGTTCAGATTCTGCAAGCCACAAATTATTTTACCTTTATTTGCTCAACTTGACTTACAATTTGTTGATGATATGCCATTACCACCTTATTCTGATGCAATTACCCATTTATTGTCCTCAATTCTTGTTGCATCTCCAGAATGTCAGATTTCCTTTTACGAATCTCATGGATTTAAGATCATTTGTTATTTGCTGCTTCAAGCAAATCCTAGCCATTTGACACCTTCCTTATATGATTCTTTTGTTTCTTTATTCGAAAAAATTAATAATTTGGATTTGAAATCGGTATTATTTGAATCTATCCTTTCAAATATCCTTTTATGGTCTAGATCAACACATAGTACAGCAGTTCTTCCAAGTTTATTCACGTTTTGCAGCAAAAATGAAAAATTAAGTCAGAAATACATGATTTTCCAAGAAATTACGCTTAAAACTAACATCCTGTTCTATTATACAGCACCAATCCGTGCCATTCCTAAGTTCCAAATCTCAAAATTAGACCCAGCGATCAGATATATGATAGAAAAGTTTTTATTTGATACAAAACGTAACAAATTCACATCGGATGATATTAATTTCCTTGTTTCGCAATGCCTTGTCCTTGAAGATCGTCAAGTTTTCGCAGATACTTTAAGAATGCTTGAATTAGTGCTTGAATCAAATCCGAAACCTTATCTACCACAAGATTTAGAATCAGTTATGAATCTCCATCAGCTCTTTTCCTCAGGAGATATGTGCGTTACCATAGATTTGATTGATTTTATGATAAAACTCCATAAAATCAAGCCATTATACTTCTCATGTAGTGTCCATGCCAATATAATAGCAAATCTACTGCCAGATTCCTTGATTTGCCAAAAATTTCTCAATAGATTGATCGAAAAGTCCGAAAAAGTACAAGAATACGTTCCATTGGTATTCTACATCGCGTCAAAAGGTTCGTTGAACTATTCCGGTTTGTTTACAAAACGGCCAAAACCGATAGAATCCACATTTAGCGACTGGGCCTTTTGGCCATGCGTTTGTGCAGTGATAAATGGGATCACTAAGGCCGGATCTATATTAGATTACCTTGTTGCGTGTTTTGACAAGCAAGATTTCCAAATTTTATTCAATACTTTGTCAATTGTCTGCGAAATCATCGGTGTTGACAAGGAACCATTCCTCAGATCACTTCTAGAGAAACAGATTTTCTATGTTTTGACTCTAAACAACCAAGAAATCGCTGGAAAAATCTTTGATTTCGCAATTTGCCAAATTTTCTTCAGAAAAACATGCATGTCCTCACAGATTTCAAGGGTTTTCAGCAGCTCAGACTACGAATTATCACAGTACATGGATGATTCTAAGGATGAAATAGGAGAATTCCCTAGTTCAAGAAGAATTATCGCTGTATTAGAGAAAATTATCAAAAGAGAAGACAAATTCGTTTTCGGAATATCACTAAACAAAGATGAAAACTGGGATGATATGAATATCCCTGTAATTTTGAACGAATTACGCGTAAGTTCGACATCTCAAATGAGATCTCGAGCTTTAGCGATTTCTTTTGCGTTTGCGATGCAGACTGATATGAAAGATGCTGCAAAAAGGATATTAATGACCTCAAAAGACAACGGATTAATATCTGAAGACATTGATTTGAGTTCTGATGAAATTCAGTGCCAGAAACTGAAAGTATCAACGAATAATAGCCTCAAGGAGTTCATCGATGAATACATGCCGCTTGTTTTGCAGAATGAAAAAAATTATAAACTCGAATGCCAAAGATTATTTGATTTTATCAAATCTAGTAAACAGATCTTTGAGAGGCACTTCACGATGTTCGATTTGAGCCTTGTTGTCCGCGCCAAGAAAGATATTGACACTTTGATCGAAAATTTCGAGTCGACAACAAACGAAAACAGGAAATACTGGTACAGAACGTGGAACATTCTCACATTCGATAGAGCTCCATGGGTCTCAGCTCTCCCTGTAATAGAAAAACACTACAAAAGAGATTCGAATTTGTATGGTTTACAAATTCCATGTAAACTAAAAGTGAACAAAAAATTCGATGACCACAAATTAGCATCTTTGAAGCGTGATCTCGGATCTAAAGACGCCGCTGAACAAATCTACGAAAACATGAATAAAAACAAACTTTCGAATGGAACGGAAATTATTAAGGACGATTCGAACGAAAAGGAAGAATACGACACCAACAAAGTGATAGAAATCGAATGCGAGCTGATAACTGTCAAGAAGAGCATGAAAAGTCGCTTTTTGTTGTCATCCGACACATTATCGATTCTAAACCTCGAAAAAACGATCCACGTTAAGTCGAACCAGGTCAAGCTGATGTTATTTAGGCTGATTCTCCACAAACCACACGGAATTGAGATATTTCTGAAATCAGGAAAAACATTTCTTATCAATATCTTCAAGAATTCCCTCAATTTCCTCAAAACAGTCTCCAGAGTCGGTAACTGGGGTAATTGTCTCATACAAACTATCCCAATGGAACAGTTTTTCCAACAACAAAAAGTGACAGAAACTTGGGTGTCCGGCCAACGATCAAACTTTGCCTATTTGATGGCGTTGAACATCTTTTCAGGCAGATCATTCAATGACCTATCAATGTACCCTGTTTTCCCATGGACAGTCAAAGATTTCGAATCCGAAATCTTAGATTTACAAAATTCCTCCATTTTCAGAGATTTGTCGAAACCTATAGGTGCAATTGGAGAAAAACGGCTTAGTAATCTCAAAGAACATGCTGAAAGTCTTGAAGAGATTGGCATTGAACCATATTTATATGCATCTTGTTTTGTCAGCCCATTAACTGTCATTTTGTGGCTGATTCGGATTGAACCATTCACAAGTTTGCATGTAGACATACAAGGTGGGAAATTCGACCATCCACATCGAATATTCTCAAGTCTAAAAAGTGCTTACCAACAATCAACAAACAATGATAATGATTTCAGAGAATTAATCCCTGAATTCTACTTTTCTCCTGAATTTCTTTTGAATTCAAACGGTTTTGATTTCGGAATTTTGAATGGGAAACAAATAAATGATGTTGAACTTCCAAATTGGGCGAAAAACAATCCTTACAAGTTCGTCTATCTGCACAGGAAATGCTTGGAATCTGATTACGTTTCTTCGCATTTAAATGATTGGATTGACTTGATATGGGGTTGCAAACAAAATTCTCCTGATAATAAATATTTGCCGGGAATGTATTCGGACATTTATCAGAAAATTCCTGAAAACGAACCAAGAAAATTGAAAGAAATTGAAAATGTCAAAAAATTGATCGGCCAAATACCCCCTCAATTATTTGACAAACCGCATCCTGTCAAGAAAAATTACGTCAATCCAAAAGCTGTCAAAAGTGAAGTGAAGTCACATATTGATGTAAAAAGTGACGTAATTTTTACATATTTTGCCAACAAAGACATAGGAGTACAAGGATTCACTGTATTAAGTGATGGTTCTATTTCAAGAATTCTTTTGAACACTTTTTCAAAAGATATTTTGTCAATTTCGTTGTCAAGCCGTTTCAAAACAGTCGGAAACTGTTTTTCATTTTGTTTGAATTCACAACTGTTTTTGATGGCGAAAGAAGACGGCCACATCACAATAATTGACTGCGGAATGGAACAAACAACAATAGAATTAGAGAGACACATTGGTTCTGTCAATTGTTTGAGTGTTGACGGAAATTACATGGTTTCTGGCGGAAATGATACAGCAATAAATGTCTGGAACTTGTCAAAGAACAGAGAGAAAATTTTGATTCTTTTCTCGTTACCGACATTTAGAGCTGAAATTGTTTCAATCGATGTTTGCCAAAGTTTCGGAATTTGCGCGGCTTTGACATCAGATGGAGCTTTGTTTATTGTTTCGATTAATTACGGAGATGTAAGGAAAATTGTTGATTTGGGAAGAAACCCAACAAAAGTAATAATCTCCAAATCTTGGTGTTTCATCGCTGTTTTCTCTTCAGCTGTAATTGAATCAAAAAGTGTTAATTTTCTAACGGTTTATTCAATTAATGGAGAAAAATTGAATGAAAATGAGTTGAATTTCGATGTTTCTTGTGTCTGCACAATGACTACTCCAAAAGGATTTGATTATTTAATAATATGCGACACAAATGGAAATATTTTCCTTTCTGAAACTTTTTACGCAAATGTTGAATTGATTTTCAGGAAGAAAGTGAATAACATCGTAAGTATTAGTTACCTCAATGAAAGAGATTGTATTTGCTTTGCTACAAAAGATGGAACTATTGGAGTAATTCCTTTCACTATAGAAAATAAGCTATAAGCTATTTTTTTATTTATTTTTTTATTTATTATGTTTGTAATTTTATATTTTTATGTTTTTATTTTATATTTTCTTTATAAAAAAGTAGTTTTATTATAATATAATGATTGGAATCCTTTGAAACTATCAAAGAACTAATTTTGGGCAATTGAGCGTGAATTTGAGTAGTTGATGAATATATAGTTATCAAATACTTTAATTTTGCTTTGATTAGGGTAAATATACCAATTATATACATGAATTCATATGTGCTCATTTTGCTGTAGGATATTTCCTATAAATATTTTTAGATTGCAAGATAGAAGCATTTAATCTATTTCAGAAATTGGGAGCTCCTTCAAAATTAAGATGACAAGTGAATTGAGCATAAATTTTGTTGTAATCCGTTACTAACAATCATTAATGGCAGGATTAAAACGGGAATATGATGATTTTAATTTTTCTTAGATATTTCCATTCCAAACTTTTGTTGAAATTAATTTTGAGCAATTGTTGGTAACAAGTATAAATTTGATAGGTATCATTTGCCAAATTCTATATTTTGTGTTTTTAATATAAAATGAAAACACTTTGCTCACCATATCAAAATTTTGAAAATGTAATCACTAGGGAACTGACTGAAAATCCTATTGTGAGTTAATACTATATATATGGTATTGATTTATTCGCATAAATGGGAATGATTTCTGATAAATTTACGTTATTGAATTTGGAAAAAAAAATGAGAATAAAAATTTCTAAAGTGTAAATTTTATTAGAAAATTCAAAAATACCTGAAAAGATTCCAAATAAAAATCTTTTTTATAATTGAGAGAGAAAGGAGTTAGAATGATAAAAGAAGTAAATATTGAAGTGTGCAGTAACAATAATTTTCCATTAGGAAAGTGAAATGGTCAATTTATCTGAAAAAGTAATTTATGTTTAATTTACATTTGGAATGATTATTAATCATATTATATTGAGTGAATTTTACGTTAATTAAAATATCAGAAATTTTGATAAGATATCTACACTAACTTTGAACTCCACAGAAATAAATTATTAAGAAAATATGGAAAATATTATTCAAAATATATTATATACTAATATTAATGATATTTTATTTTGTGAATTATGGAAATTTGATAGGAAAATATACACATAATTTGAGAACTCATTTTGAGAGGGCGAACCATAACAGATTTGCATATCACTTCCTCATTTGGAATTTAAAATATTTTAGTTAATTTCTAACCGCTATCGGTTCTCAATAATTGTGTTATATCAACAAAATTGTGTCACTATCAAATATAATCAACCATTTTTCTTCATGTGCCCAAATCTTATCTATGAAGACATCCAGCAGTCCAATACCTTCATCAATCCATATGAAGATTTTTGCTATGAAGGAGAAATAAAATGCGACTACTGCATTCCAACTCCAGATCTTATTGCCAGTCTTTCTTCCTTTTGCGTTCCACCTCCAACAAATGAAACCACTGGTAAATACTCATACACTCTTAAAAGTGGCCAGAAACTTGAATTGGATCATCCTTTGCCACCAGGATTCCCAATTGATTTAATTCCAAGTGACGAAGAAGAACATGCAAATAATGGATCAGAGGATAGTTGCATATCAATTAAGCATTTATTATTATATGGCACTGCCTGCATATGCCCGATTTCCGGTATAATAATGTACGCAGTTCTCCATAAACGTAACCCAAAGTTAGCAAATCGTATCCGTAAGCTTACACTTACATCATTTATTGCAATAGGATCCTTCCTTCTCTTATTATTATAAGTCTCATTATATTTATTCCGGAATTTGTTTGTTATTATAAATGTTGTTTGTATTTTTTATTTGAGAATACTTTTTGAACATTATATTGTATGTGGGTATTATGCATGGTCAAAAAATTGAAATATAAACCATTAATTGAACGAATCCCTCTCAAATAAAAACGATGATTTTCTAAGAATTTTTTTCACCTTTCGTTGAGGTATATTAAATGTATCCGATATTCAATATAAATGATTTTAATTATATTTTTGCGAACTAGCGTTTTTATGGTTCTGAAAAAAAAATACTTCTCAAATTTGCTGCTTTCTATATCTAAAATAATTATGAGTTAAGTTTTTACTATATAAGTAATATGACGGCTGTTGCTTTTTTTTATCTACAATAATTTTAAGGCTACCCTTACGCCTATCTGACTTTAATTCAAATTTTGACAACTGGCGCAAAGCGCCATTGAAATTTAACCTTAAACCTCTGAATTGAAGGCTCTGTCATAGTCGAATTTCAAAACATACAATAACGCAAGATCTATATATTCTGTAAACCGATTGATAGTACAAATATGTATATTTGCAGGTCAAAGAATCAAATATTCATTTTAATATTATTATCTCGAAATCGCTCTTGCAGTTTTATTCCATTCTTCGTCTATTAGTCATCGAGTATCTACATAGTCTAAAACCATTACCAAAATCAAGAATTCGACTATTTTCAACGCACTCAAAATATTTTTATTTCAGGCAATACAAATAAAAATCTTTATCTTTTCTATATAATCAAGAGCAACAATCTAGAGAAGTCGCTCAACTCATGGTTCCCCATGGAGATTGATTCAAGAAGTAATAATGAAAGTAAAGATTTTATTAGTTGAACTTATATTATATGTGCATGATAAGTTGGAGTACTTCTCAGCATATACAACTATGGTAACTCAAAACACCTAATCACATGTTTTCTAAAAGTAACTATTTCAAAGATGTTTTCATAATTATACTTTGCTAATGATTTAATGAATTGATGCATCAATGCAATGTGTTTGCTCCATATATTTAATTTTACAAGATATTCCTGCTTTGCCACTCTGATAGTCAACTTGTAAATTAATGAGTACAATTCATATATCAATAATAAGACCATAATTGTAATAAAATCATTAGCTCTCTTATTCAGAATCAACCAAAGAAAGCTAATTGAATGAAAACTCACCCACTATATTTTATCATTTGGCAAATACGGATTTCTTTTAATATATTTATAATTCACTCTCCAATTTTTTATTGATTTGAAATAAAGTATACTTATTTAAGGAATTTTAGTGGCATAATTTCAAAAATGAAATTAGTTGAAGACAATAATAAAATTTGGTGAAGTAGGCGTTTGCCAAGAACATTTTGATGTAAATATATTCTTAAATAGAAAATGCCGTAATCTGACCTAAGTAGTATATGATGAAGGGTTTAGTGACTTTTTTTGTAACCGTAAGAATTCATACAATATTGAACGATTTTGTATCATTTTTTTAACATATGAATTAAAAAATATATGATTCTTACGGTTTTTATTCTTACGTTTACACTCAACCCATACATAGTGGGATTAAAAAAATTGTTGAATAACTGAATGGAATCAATGAAGTCATACATTTTGAATAATTTATTTTTTATTTCGTAAGAAATGAGTGGATCAAGATTCGTAACCGTCAATCAATTAATGGATGCTCTTTCACCAATTCTTGAAAATGTTAAACAAGTAGATGTTTATATTATAAAGGTAAACATAATATTAAACCCATTGCTTTTGCATTTGATAATAAATTAATTCCAGATATTGAATATATAACGAATATAACTAATAAATGGTTCAAACGAATTCCAACCACAAAAGTTCTTTGTAAATTAATGATCAAAACCGAGGCCAAAGAATTTCATGAATTTACATATCATCCAAATAAACTAGCAGAAGTTGCATTTAATAATGAAATATTTGATGGGCTTTAAGGACCCGGGCTCAACGAGTCATGATTTATGAAATCAATAATTTGATTTATTCGCTCTTCAATAATTTCTATTCTTTTTGTTAAATCATCTATTTTCATTAATGAGGTGATTCTTGATTGAGGAATAGATTTCAAACTAACCACTCCTTTTATTTTTGAAATTTTGAATCCATCAACTTTAAACATTTTATTCAATTTACACGTTGTCAATTCTTCAAATAATTTTTTATTATTAGCATAATAGTCATTAAATTCTTCAACAGATGAAAAAATTTTTATTTCAGTAATTGGTTTAACAACGTTTATTTTTTGTTGAACATTTTCACTTTCATTTATTTTTAAAATTGGTTTCATTTATCATTAAATAAAAATTAGAATATAAGTGATGAAATATATTTTTTAATTAATATTAAATCAGAAATGGCTGCAGGATTCTTTAAAAAATTATGGGAAGGAATTAAGAAAGCTGCGGGTTGGGTTCATCAAAAGATTATTAAACCCATTGCAAACTTTTTGGCACCAGTAGCGAAAACGGCAGGAACTATCATAGGTGGAGTATTAGGTACTAAAGCAGGTAATCCGGCGATGGGAGCACAAGCAGGTAACGCAATTGGTGGAATAGCTGAAGGAATACTTAATAAAATAGGAGGTAGATAGTGGAAAAATAAATAAATATTATTTTTATCTTAGTATCGGTTGAAGTCTTTGATAAACTTTTTCTCCTTTATTTAATATTTCTCTTATTGGGGCGGCTTTTGGTGTTATTGATTCAGCAACGTCACTAATTGCTTCTTTATTCTTAAATATCCAATTTGCTCCTTTCTTCATTGTTTCCCAAACTTTATGCGCTCCTCTTTTTACTTTATCCCACAGTTTCTTAAATATACCTGCAGCCATAGTTGATTATTTCATTAAAATTAAAAATTCATTTTCATCTTTTAATTTTGATTTTTTATTTCATAATAAATGACGACTAACTATTTGGTGCCAAACACTAAACCGATTAATGGAAATGTATTTCATTCATTCGAAAAGATAAATGAAATATTCGCAAAGAATGACGGTAGAAGATATTATAGAGAACTTGAAAGTTCATGCTATGACTCTGATGCTCCATATTTTGATGATAAACAAACTCATTTAAGAATTACAAATCCGGCTCATGATGTGAACCAATTAGGTGACACATATATTAAACGCAAAGTTAAAGCAACTCTAGTTTCAAATAAAGCTTTCACATGTGATGCCGTTTTTAAATGCATGCGTTTATTCGTTGGTTACAAATCATCAAATCAAAGCTTTAAACAATTAGAAGTAGAAACCGAAAGAGGTGATGCCGGTTATCTTCAGATGGATTGCGCCCGTGAATCTTTCGCATTTGCAACATATAAACCAAAATCAGAAAGGAAAGTTAAAAAGTTTGTTCATTCGTTATATATATAATGTTCAAAAATATGATAACTCAGTATGTGGTAAATATATTGACCCTTCAGAAGTTTTCAAGAGAGCAAATGAAGAAGTTGATGTCACTTTTGATATGATTATTCCGGTAAATGATTTGTTAGCATTTCAGGCGTTCGATGATTATCCTAAATCATTTGGTGATATCATTCTTAAATATTATGTTTTCAGGGATACTTTAGTATTTTGTCAGGTTGACCCGTTAAGAGTTGCTGATTTACAAAATTACGTTTATGAAAAGATAACTGATGAAAATTATGAAAAGATTATGAATCATGTTTATAAATATGATCGCAAATTCCAACAAATCGGACTTCCTACCAAATTAATTACAAGCTTAGCCGCTACATCTGCTGACGCAACAGTTGAGGACGTTATTATTTCATGCACAAAGATGGAAGTTTTAGAGGATAAATGCATTACACCAGGATATGGTTTAATTGAAGAATCAGTTAAAGCAATACCACGTTTATTCAGTAAGGAAGATCCATTCATGATTCCAGCTCAACATATTGATGTTCGTTCACTAAATGGAGGTTGCATCACTCCTGAAGGTATTAGCTCAGATTTCTCATACGCTCTTCATAATGTTACAGATGTTGTGTTAACATTTCCGAAGAATGCAATGCAAAGAACGGTTTTAGAAAATCCAATGCTTCGAGGTCTTCAGGTCACTATAGATTCCAGAAACTTCCCCGATCAAGCGATGACCACAGTGGGTGATATATTCTTTACACGTATGCTTCAAGCTTCTGATTTAGATGGAGTGAATGAATGCACGGAAGAATACGAGGACTCATTAACTAGACCACTGAATGATGATAATGGCACGCCATTAGCTAGAACATGGAAAGACCAAACTTCATTCTTATGCACTATTCCAGTTCAACGTGATGGAGCGGGTATATTCTTTGATGGATTAGAAACTTTCAATTCACAAGTTACAGTACAAGTGAAAGCTTATCCAATCATTCAGGGTGAAAATGACACTTACTGTTCAAAGGTGACAAATCCTCCTCAGGTTTGGTTTACTAGGACTACATATTGGACATGGACACCGGATGAAGGTTTGAAATATCATCCAACAGGTACACCACCACAGTATAGAAGTTCATATGATGAAATATTGATGAATAGAAATGTTTAAAATTATAAATTTATTTTTGATTAAATGGATTTAAATTCATCCACCCCTTATGAAGAATTAGCAGGAGTATATAATACCTACATAGATGATATGATTAATGAAGCATTGAGTGATAATAGAAATGCTCTCTCTAAGGAAAAATTAATGAAAATTCCATATTCTGAATGTTACTTAAATTCAATCACTGCAGCAATTGGTAAACAAAATAAAGGTAAAACATTAACGATATTAAAACAAATTATCATTATTGCTAACACTTCCCCCTTCACACGTGTTTTAATATCAACCGTTCAGGTTCACCTTCAGATGATACATTTGAATCTTTAAAGCATTTAATCAAAATTCCAATTATTTATTTATCACAAGAAGAAGCAGAAGATTATTTAAAAAACTTTTTAATGTATAAAGAATTATATAATACAATCAAGAAGCAAGGATTAGAGGATAAAATTATTGATAAACAACGGGATGAATTATTTGAAACACTTTCTATTTCAAATTTTGATAGAGAATTTTTGCATTCACTAATTTTTCTAGATGATGCCGTGAAATCAAAACTAATAACTAATGAGAAATCATATTTTAATCAGTTATTAACTCAATGTCGACACATTCAGTGTTCATTCTTCATGGCTGTTCAATACTTCAAAGCATTAAGCACAAACATTAAATCAAACCTGTCCACCCTTTTTATTTTCAGTGGTTTTAGTCGTCAACAGTTGAACGTTATGCTTTATCAAGTGAATTTACCAATGAGCATTAATGAACTTTACACACAATATCAACAATTAGGAGAACATGGAAAAATAATAGTTGATTTAAATAAAGGAAGTGTTAAATTTGATTAACTTTTTATAATTAATTTTTATTTTTTATTTATAATTAAACATGACAGAAATAGCAAATCTTCTACAGGTTCCATTAAAACAAGGGACAAACAAAAAGGGTGCATATAATAGAACTATGAAAGTTCCAGACGGAATGAAAGAATTAGTCCACATTGTTGCCGGTCTTCAAAAGGATGTTAAACAAATGAGAAACGTTTTAACATTACCAGAAGCTCAAGCATATGCCAAACGTCATGGACCAAATTAGGAAGCACACGAAGAAGACATTACGGGTCCAAATGGAAAACCCGATGGTATAAATGAAGTTTTCGTTACTGATGGTCAAGGTAATATTAAAGTCATAAATGGTTATAAATTAACGATAACTGATTATCCTAAACGTAAAGCATATAATGAACATTATCCTATAAAATTTGATGAAAATGGAAAAGCTGTTAAACAACATATCGGAGACAGTAAAGATGGACCAATTCTTTCATACCGTCATAATCCATATTCTTATTTCAATGAAGAATTAAATGCTATTGAAGAGGGACCGGATGGATTACCACGATATTCTAACCAGTTTGATGGTCAATATGCAAATTTGAGACCTGAAATTCCAGCTAAGAAATTCTTTAAAGTTGCTTTATTCGATCCAGTGTTCAATGAACAGAAAGAAGCAATGAAAGCAGAATTTAAACCAATTCAAGTGGCAAGAATTTCTTCATCTTCACTTTCAGAAGCGTTCAAGGAATTGATAAAGAAACCACTTTATTCTCAACAAGGTTATAACTTTGATTTAATTAAAGAAAGTGATAGACGTAAATTAGAAAAATCAGATGGTTTTAAGAATGCATGGTAATGAAATGATTAAAGATATTGTAAATGATAAAATAAGACTGGAAGAAACTCAAATCATTATCAATAACATAATTGGTGCAGTTACAAAGAAAGTATAAGCAAACAAGGATGAACCTTGGGATATTACCGTAACAACTAAATAAAACTTTAAATATATTTTTTCTTTTTTTTATTCAATTATAAATGAGAAGACGTTTCACAAGTCAAAAGAACACAAACGCAAAAGCAGAGATTACGGTTGGTTATAACGTGAATGATGATAAATCACGAATTATTCAAAATGTTAAAGTTAATGTTAGTCCTGAATTAACAAGGTCAGCAACACAGTCCAATTTATTAACTCGTGACTTACCGAAGAATGAGGAGAATGAAGAAAACCATGAGAATGGAGACCCAATCATTTTATCTGAACCCGGTAAAGAACCTGTTGAAATTCCCACTTATCCAACATACCCCCCGCCTCTTTCATCAAACATCGAGAACCAGGAATCTACGATTCCAGTCGCAATGCGCCATATAAAATAGACATTAATTCAGAATTAATGAAAATTTACCGTGATATAATAATTAATAATTATGATTCAATAATAAATTTAATTGACCAATCTGGTTTAATTATTTTACCTTATGAATCATTAATTCACATTATTGCCATTCTTTGTGATGTTCAAGATTCAGACGTTAAGATTCAATTTTTCATAGATGATGAGGTTTCATGCTGCGGAACAGTTGCAAAAATAAATCCTATAAAGGATATTAGCCAATTAAGATATCAAAGAACGGAACAACAACTGAACTTCATTTAACATATAATGATATTTATAATAAAATAGTTGATGAATATAAAATATCACTTGAAAAATTCTTTGTTAAGACTATTTAATATTCAAGCATTAACATTATCGAATAATAATCCTTTGAATCATAATCAATAATAATTGACCTTTCACCAGTTTCTATCGTTTGTTTTATTTCTTTTTGTTCCCCACTATCTGGATCGGTCATTGTAATTGTTTTTGTTATAGTATCAGCTTTATCTTTAACTTCAATCTTTTTTCCATCAGGATATTTAAACCAAAATTCCAAAAATTCGATATTGTCAATCTGTTCATATTTTAATCTATCAATTACATTTTTAATACCATCTGAAAATCTTATGAAATGGTCATTATATGGGTTTGATTGAACTAAATTTGAATGAAGTGAAATATAACCTGTTGATGAATATGACATTGACTCATATTTTCTGAAAACACTAAAATTTATAACATGAATGAATTTCTTATTCGTTGAATTTATGAATTCTTGAGGTAATCTTATTCTAGTTTTATTTATCACTGGAAAATAACGCTTTACCATATTTTTAATCGTAATAAAAATGTCAATTATCAATATTATTTCAAATAATAACTGTGAATTAAATTTAACAGTTAGCGGAATTTATAATGTTACTCTCGTTTCTGTGAGTGGTAAATTTAATCCCATTCTTTTAGACCCTTCAGATATATATATTCATTATAAAGATGACCATGAAAAAACGTATGATATGTATATAAATAATGTGATAACGAAATGGGATATTAACATGATTTTAAGTTATTTAAATGAATCATTTATCGTATGGTATGAAGAAAATTTTAAATCAAAACCTGATAAACTTTTTGAACTTGATGAAATAAATAACCTTATTAAATTCCCGCTGAAAATTAAATTTTATACTCCTCATTTTCGTTCATTGTTGGGGATATTAAATTTTGAAAAAGATGTTGGGGATGTTTTGTATTCTGACACTGGTTCCAATTTCATTTTAATCAAATGTGATAAAGTTAATACCCCAATGAGATTTTCACATCAAACATTAGACCCCAACTCTTACCCATCAATACAAAACATTTTATCCATCAACTTAAACACATTTTCTTTATCATATCCGTTTCAATTATCCGGGAATTCATTTATTCTTCATTCAAAAGATTTATCAAATATTAAATTTAGAATAACAGACCTATATTTGATTTAGAATTCATGAATGAAATATTATGGCAATTTCAAATAGAAAAAATAGCTGATGAGATAACAGATTAAATATTTATTTTTAAATCATAATAAATGATTAAACAACAGCAGCCACAACAACTTAAGGC